CTCGGTCTGTCTTGCAGCTACCAACTTTGGTTCCTCGCATGAGGATTTCCTTATGTGTCTAACCTAGTGTGTATGCTTTGCCTAGAATGTCTGGAGTTCTTGTCGGAGTGTAGACCCAACCTCGAATGCACACTAACTCATTAGCCAAGTAGGGAATGAACATTTCTCTGCACACTGACGCAGGAGAAAATGTTTTCCTGAAGGCCAAGCTGAGAGTGTACACTACTCAAATGCACAGTTCGTGACATGCTAAGTGATTGCTTGTTGGGATGTCGTTGGAATGAGTCATGATCATCTACCCTTGCCCCTTGCTTTGAGACACCTCATCTAGGGTGCGCTACATCTCAATGCGATCAAAGAGCTGATTCACCAAGGTGGTCTGATAAGTGAGGGCGATGGTTAAGTCAGTGACTTACAAAGGTAGATGATGTTGATCATATGGGTTGCAAAAATCTGGATGATAGGCGTCTCCATGTGTGGTGGAATTTTGATGGACTATAAGTATGAAATTCAAGCCTGGAGCAGGCATTCTTGCTAAAACATGGGGTGAAAATATCCTTGGGTCAATTGTCAGGTCAGTGGTCAGAATCGGAATCACCTGAATTGGCCTCGAATTATACTAGGTCGCAAGTTGGGTGGCCAGAGCGAATCACAAGGCAAGCCAACCTGGCTGGATGGACAAAGCACATGTGGGAGTTCACTGGACTCGCGTATATGGTGGCTGGCCTTAGGCCAACGCTTGCTCCTTGTGAGCTTGGGCTCAGCTGGAAAAAGCTGGGCATGGGCCGCCTGATAAGATCATATTTATGCGACTTTGTTATCTTATTTCTTTGCATTTACTTAGTTAATTTCCATTTATTATAGTAATTTAAGTTATTTTCTTATTATTGTAGGTCAGTTCGTAAAGATGACAATAAATAGTCAAATGGAGCAATTTGGAACAATTTTGGACTTGGACTGGATAGCATGCGTGGATAGTTGACAAGCTCATATTTATATATATTTTATATCAAATTCACTTGTCTTTGCTTAATTAGTTCTTTATATTTTTGAGCTATTTACTTTGTTTTTGTGTTTTGTAGTATTTGTCAAGCAAAGAAAAGAAAAATAGCACAAGTGGGATTTTAAGTAACAAATTCGTCAAAACTGCCTGTGCACATCAACTGACTTTGGAAGCAAGTTGCGAACAACTCAAAATGAATTAGAGAATGAGCCTTATATGGTTAGAAAGCTACGGATGTCTATTTTCTAGAGCATTTCATGGATTGTTAACACTGAAAGATTTCCAAGAGGTTGAGCAGTTTGTGACTGACAAGAAAGCATTGAAAGCAATAAATCCAACAAAACTAGCAACCAAAACTAATGCAGCCAAGAACAAGCCAGCTGACACCTATTCAAATATCAGAGGAAATGGAATTAAAGATGAGGATTAAGAGGGAGTTATTGGCATAAAGGCTACCCTAGGAGTTACAATTGTTTCACCATTTCCTCCCATTTATTGTCATTACTAAATGGCTATTAGTGGGTGAGTTAAGGAGAAGAAAGTGATGCAGCAAGAATTGGTTTAAAAGTAGTGTTGGGGAAAAGGGAAAATGAGAGCCTTAGTCGATTTTTTTTCGGTTCTATTTTCTCAAACTTATGTCTATCTTTTGTTTTAACTTAAGGATTGTGTAACTAAATTTTTAGTAGTTAGGGGCTGTTTGAAGCCCCGAATATGATTGCAAGTTTGTTATGACATTTCATTTGAATTACTTGTATGAATGGATGAAAATTGATTCACTACTTGTCTCATTGATGAATTCTTTATGTGTTTTCTATGGATGCATACTTAGTAAGCATATCTAGGATTCTAATGCTATGAATATGTGTGTGCCTACCCTTGTCGAATGAGGACCTACATATGTTCTAGAGTAGTACTTGTTAATTGCGATTAACATGTGAACCAATTTCTAGGATAAGTAAGACAACGCCAGTACTTACGATGCCTTGTGATGACTCAAACTCTTTTCGTTGCTAATGATTTCTACTTGTTAAATCTATGAACACACCATTCTAAATTGCATGTTAGGGACTAAGTTAACTTGAAAACGCCATTCTTTTAACATACTACATAAGAAAGAGTAATAGGTTGAGTTCTAACATTGAGCCAACTTGAGCATCTTCATCCGAAAATAAAAGGAATTTGAATGAAACATAACATGTTTGTATAATTATTTGGTGGTGGATAGCAATTCCCCTAACTCGTTTTTCTTAATTTGTGAACTACTTAAAAATCTGTTTTTGTCCTGTTTTTGTTCGATTTAATTTAAATAGAAAATCAACTCCAAAAATCCCAAAAATTTGTGTGAGTGTAGCTCTGTGTGTCTAGTATCTGCATATAAAATTTCGTAGACTTTAGATAAGTGTAAGTTGGTCTATTAATTATTTTTTGGTGGCTGGCCAGTAGGGACAGCAGCCCAGTTTTTGTGACATTTTAAGTAGTTAGATAAAACAATCTTCTACGGGAAAGACCTTTATTTTCATATGCTACAATTGACAAATCTTATTGTTAATAAGGAAAATTAATAGGACATTTGTGTGCTACTTTGTGGTGTGCTTTTAATCCTATCAATAGTATATGGGCTGGATGTTTTTGGTGTTTAAAAGGTGTTAAACATGTTTTTGGTGTTTAAGAGGAATCCTACTTGGAGAGAAACATTATCTTATCATATCTTATCTTATCACCAACTGCAAGGAAGAATCCAAATCACATTCCAACACTTTTCACATGTTTCTTAGAGTCCTAAAATAATTCAAAATGCCTAATCCCTTTCCTCTTTGGATTTAGTCTCGCCCTATATATATAAAGTGTCCTGTTGCGTTTGAGGAGTGTGCCACACCTACCATTCATCTATTAAAGTTGCTAGAATTTTTAGAGTTCTTTCTCTCTTTGTTTTACGTTTCAATGTTTATTTTAGATTGCTTTTCAGTTATGATGAAGTTTCTTTTTAGCTAGAGGTGAATTCAAAGCCATAATCATGTGTTTTATAGAAATTGATTACATCCAGTTATTGTTTCATAAAACATGAATGCGATTTACTTATCTGCTTTATAGAAAACTTATTCTTGTATGTTTATTAAGGATGCATACTTAGTTTGCATGTAGGGATTTGATGCTAGAATATAAGGGAGTTTCACCTAATCGTAATGAACTTATATTTGTAAGTAGTAAAAGTCACTAGTCATAATTGAGTTAAGTAAATCCTTGGCAAGAGTATCATGCTTTTCATAGTTATGAATGCTTTGTCAATGCTTATGATTTTCACAAAATTTAATGATCTTCGAGATGTATCTCTATCATGCCTTTCATAGTTAGGGAACTTGAGAAGAATAATTTGATTGCGTCACTGAGTCTAATTCAATGAACTTAGGAAAATTTGAGAGTTAGTGTTGTTCATAGTTGATTTGGGGCATTGTCATTCATGGTTTATAGGAAGAATAACTGGAAATCGATTTGCATGCATATGATTCATGTGTGAAGAAGAATCCTTTAGCTATCCTTTCATCCATATTTCATTCATAACTTAATTTACTTGCTGCCATTACTTTTGTTTTAATTAAATTCGTCCAAAATCCCCCCAATCATTGTTTTGTTGTTGGTTTAACTTAGTTTTCAATTTATTAATTTTAATTTATGTTGATTAGCATCCCTTCTAATCCTCGGAATCATACGATCTATACTTACTCGTACTACGATTTCATAATTTATAGGGTTTAATTTGTATGTTAGTTTCTACCACATCACCGCCTACCCGTGGACTCCTCCTACTAGCTAGGTTATTGCCTACTCTTCACGATCCTAGGCTGCCATCGCAGCGAAGTGGGCTTGGTTCTGGGCCTGATGTGCGGCAAAGGTGGTTGCTGCAGTGGGTTGGGCCTCTTACCTTGGGTTTGCTGTGGCAGTTGCCACGTTGTGGGCCTTCTGCCCTTGGGTTGTGGACTCCGGCTTGGGCTGCTGTTGCGGTGGTCTTTGTCGTAGGCTACAAGGTGGTGGCCGTGGCGGTGGTGTGGCTCTACAGCGGTAAGGTTCCTTTTGCCGTCACGTTGAATCTTGAGGATCACCATTGTGAGGCTATGTCCTTGGCTCCGCTTTCCAATCCAAATCTTTGTACGTACAGGGTTTCATTTGTCGTGGTTTCTGTACTTCCTACCATTTTATCCTTTCTCCAAGGATTGATCAATAAAATTTTCTAGGAAAACTTAATTGATACAGCGTGTGAGAAATTCAATGTAACAGAAAATTCAAGAAACCAAATGCGAGTCTTCTTCGAGTATTTGAATCAGCTCTCAATGAAAGCACCAATATGTCAATGTAAATTTCCACCATCTTCAATCTTGATGAAAATGCACCTGCAAAATAATCAACACATTTGATCAAAGACCTAAACCTCACGCGCCCACGAGGTGAGGGGGTTAGGCCAATGGATCTTCGATGCCTAAGTTATTTTCTCTAAAAAGTTCAAGTGTTTAGGGCTTTTAGGGGTAGCAAAAGCTTACTGAAATTTGGTAGAGATTGATGTATATATAAGGAGTGATTGGCCATGGTGTTAGGACTTTGCCCTACACATGGTGGCATCCAATTAGCCAAGGTTTATGGAGAGAATATTCTCAACATATTAAATATGAAGTAATATCTTGAGATAATGGTGTAAATATCCCTAATTTTTTTTTTTAAGGGAAAAACGATATTCATTAAAAAGAGAACACGTACACAGACATGGAGGATAGGGTGCATACTGGGCCTCGATAAAAACCTTGACGGGGATTTCAACCCGAACATAGGGAAAAAGAGTGTCCCGCACATTCAAACAAAGATAAATAACTTCCAAAAAGTATAATCAAATCAATTATTATCTAGGACAATCTTCCAACAAATCATCTATAGTTAAATCCGGCAGATCTTCAAACCACACCATCTCAGTATCACTACCAATTCCAGCGTGTGCTAGTCGATATGCCACCTAATTGGCTTCCCGTTGAACATGGAAAGCTCTCACCTTGGGAAATGAAAGTAACAACCGCCTAATGTCATTGATAATTGGTCCCATAGTGGACACATCCTCTTCTTGTCTCTTTATGGCAGCGAGAACAATAGCAGAATCTTCTTCAAAACACACAAGCCCCCCATCTAAGATCAACTCATTGGCAAATAATAGAGCCCTTCTAGCCACCAACAACTCCACCTGTAACGGAGAGGCAACATGTGCAATTTGGACCGAGAGTCCAGCCATAAACTCACCCTCTTGATTCCTAAAGACGACCCCTACTCTACCTTTCTGTGCACTCTTCACCCATGCACCATCAAAGTTGCATTTCACCCAAGTTGGAGGTGGAGCATTCCAACTTTGCAAGCTATTAGTCCGAGGCTCCTTACGTACTTTATGGCATTGATGGTAGGACGCAAGCCACTCCTCCACCCTAAGAAACACCTCCCTAGGTGTTGTTTGTGTTCCTTTCCAAATCAAATCGTTCATAGCCTTCCATAAGCTCCATATAATCATCAACATTAATTAGAAAACTAATCAAGAAGAGAATAAGCCAAATGAGCAATCCAATATTTTAGTGTCATACCTTCGAGTTGTCCTACTCTTAACCCTAGTGTAGAAAACCAAACGGCAGCCGCCAAAGAACAATCCCTTAATGCATGCTCGACTGTCTCTACTTGGCCCCCGCACACTAAACACTCATTCACTACCAAAATACACCTTCGTTTGAGCTTTCGTCGAGTATGCAGAGCATCCAAGCAACCTCTCCACACACAAATTTTCACTTTCCCAGGAACACATGCATTCCATATATTCTTCCATAACACCATGTCAGCCACCTGCAATCCCGATGACCCTTCCGTTACCCTCACAATAGTAACATCCTTCCTTGCTAAATGGTATGCACTTCTAACCGGGAACTTACCATTCTTTTTGAAGTGCCACACTATATGGTCTTCCACATTCCGTGAGCTTAATGGTGTATTCAAAATAAATTCAGCTTCCTCCGGACAAAACACTTGCTTGACCCATAAATCTCAATACCATGTGTCCTCCAAAAATAAATTATTAACAGTGGCCTCACTATTCCAGCCCGCCAGGATCATACTCACAACCTAAAAGAAATTTTCCGGGGAAGCCAACCATCTTTCCAAATCCTGTTAGTAGAACCACTCCCAACTTGCCATCTTATGCCCTTACGAATCACGGTTCTTGAAGCGGCAATACTCCTCCAATGCGTTTGTAGTCACACAATCACCAAGAAATCTGAATCTGGAAAGTATCTTGCCTTAAAAACTCGATAAGCAAGTGAATCTTGCTTGGATAGGAACCACCACGCCTGTTGAGCAAGTAGTGCAATGTTAAACGCGTACAAATCCCTAAAACCCAGGCCGCTTTCGGATTTTGGCTTACAAAGTGTTTTCCAATGCGTCCAATGGACCTTTCTTCGCCCTGCGTCCCCATGCCACCAAAACTTAGCCACTAACTTATTTAACTCATCATAGAAAGATTTGGGAAAGATGAAGCATTGCATGGAATAAAAGGGCAAGGCTTGGGCAACTATTTTGACTAATATTTCTTTACTTGCACTACTCAACAACCCTCATCTCCAACCATTTAGCTTTTTCCACAACCTTTCTTTAATATAAGCAAAGGTCGTTTTCTTCGCTTTTTGAAAGAAGACCGGCAATCCCAAATATCTATCATAGAAATCCACTTTACAAACGCACAAACAATGAGCCAATAATTGTTGATCCACTGGAGCTAAGTTAGGGCTGAATGCGACACAACTTTTAGAAAAAATTAACTAATTGCCTTGAAGCCCCTTCATAGATTCTCAACATGTTCTTAATGTTTTGACACTCCTCTAGTGTTCCTTTAGCAAACAAGAAACTATCATCTGTAAAGAGAAGATGACTAATACTTAGCGCTTGTCGACATACCTTAATACCTTGAATTTTACCAAGATGTTCCTCCCACTAGAAAAGGGAAGAAAGACCTTTGGCACAAATAACAAAGAGGAAAAGTGATAGGGGATCACCTTGCCGTATACCCTTTCAAGGATGAACATAACCTATCGGTTCACCGTTAACTTTAAAAGAATAAGTCACAGTAGACACGCAATTCATAATCATTTGAATTCAAGTATTTGCATATCCCATTCGCCACATAACTGCTTCCAGGTAATTCCATTTGATTCTATTGTATGCTTTACTAATATTGAGCTTGAGATCCATCACATCATTCCAACTTGAATTGCGTTTGTGCATGCAGTGGGCTATCTCCGCCACAACCAAGCTATTATCGGAAATCAGCCAACTAGGGACAAAGGCACTTTGAGTGGGTGATATAATTTGGGAAAGAATGAATTTCAATCTATTTGTCAAAACCTTTGCCGCAATTTTATACAAAACATTGCAGAGGCTTATAGGACATAACGAAGACATCTCTGTAGGGTCCTTCACCTTAGGGATAAGAGTAACGTGGGTGAAATTAATCTTACACAAAATACATCTGGAATGTAGCATAGATCGAATAACATTGCACACATCTGAACCCACCAGATCCTAATGTTTCTGATAAAACACCGGGGACATGCCATCTGGCCCCGGGGCCTTGGTTGGGTGCATTTGAAATGCCGTTGATTTTATCTCCTCATCACATATTGGACGTATTAAATCTTCATTCATCTCCTCGGAAACCACTGGTATTATATTAGTTAGGACCTTTTCCATGCCATCCCCTCCCTGAGACTCAAACAACTTTGAAAAATAATCCACCACTATTCTCTCCATCCCATTTTTGGACTCTTGTCACACTCCATGTTCATCATTGAGACCGAATAACTAGTTCCTCCGTTGCCTACAGTTAGCACGTTGGTGAAAATACTTCGTGTTTCTGTCACCAAGTTTTAACCAATTAGCCCTTGCACGCTGACGCCAAAATGATTCCTTTTGTTCCAGGAGTATGTTAAGCTTGGACATAAGAGCTTTCTTTTGCCCAATTGTCTCATCCGTAAACGGTAAGCCCAATAAGCTCGTTAATTAATCTTTAATTTCCTTAATTTCTTGAGGACCATGAAGCACATTTTGTGTTCCCCATTTCGAAAGCAACATTCTCATCGCTTTTATCTTCTCAGTAACTTGGAATAATGGTAAACCAGAAACCTCAGTAGCCCACCCTTGAGCCACTACATCTCAACACCCTTCCACGTTATTTCATCCATCCTCGTAACGAACTGTTTTTTCCAACTATACTTATGTTTACCGCCCCAACTTATTAAAATAGGAACATGGTCAGAGGTAGATTTGTTCATATGCGAGACCATATGATTTCTGAATAAATCCATCCATGATTGTGTTGCTAGGGCTTTATCCAACCAGACATTGATTCCACCATCCTTTATTGTGAACCATGTAAATTTATTGCCACTGAAACCTAGATCTCGAAACTGACACCAAGTAACCACTTCTCGGAACCTATCCATTTGTCTCTCACTACGCACATACCTCCTTCCTGCTCAGTTGCTAAGAGGATTTCATTAAACTCTCCTAAGCAAAGCCAGGGGCCATCAGACGCCTCACATAATTGATCAAGAAGCTGCCACGACTTATAAAGATCTTGAACCCTTGGAAAACCATAAAAACATGTCGAACGCCAATAACCATTCTCACCAATGCCACCCACATCTAGGTCCATGTGATTATTAAAGTATGAACAAAGTCCTAGATTAGCCTTTTCCTTCCAAAATACACACAAACCTTTGGACCTACCCCAACTGGCAACTGGAAAACTTCTAACAAATTGAAACTTAGCTCTTAGCATTTCCATACAAACTACATTACTCTTAGTTTCACAAAGAAAAACAATCGTGGGATCTTTATTAAAAATTAGACACTGAAGCACCTGAACTACACGAGAGTTCCCCAAGTCCCCTGCAGTTCCAACTCAAGCAACTCATTGATGACGGCAGGACTGATCCTCATTAATCGCCGCTGACAACATAGATGAAACTCCACTGCGAACCATTCTACGCCGAGATAATGATCCATCACTAACATTCTCGTCTTCACGAATACATCTCTTGCCCAAGAGGGTATTAGCACTACCATTTGAAAACGTCTCTCTACTCACGCTAACCCTCGTATTTTCACTTCATCTTTTGCCTGCACGATGCTGCTTCTTTTTTCGCCTTAAATTTTGTTCAATAATAGGCAACAAACTAAATGGATCAAAGCCTAAAGGATTAGCTTCCATAATTATGTTAGGCACCAAAATACTCAGCCCACTTGCTTGTTGGTTTGTAGGATTTTGGCCAAAGTCCAGCTGGGAAGATTTGGTTGGTCCCCCTCAAGGAAATCTCCCCATTAACTAAATAATTATGGGCACTGACATTCCCCACTAATATACTAAGAGTGATGGATGTTCATCCCAAAACTAATGGAGTCATTAACCATTGGGACACCAAATAAATGAGGCATATGTGGGGGTGTTGACCCATACCCATCTAAAGCACATCCCCACTCCTGTGCACTCAAATTCGAAGTCTCCATTCTAGGTGAATCAATACCGAGATTAGAGTAATTGGGGGGTTCAGTTAATCCTCTTAAATCCCGCTCAGAATCCTCAGTGTCAACTATCTCATTCAAATCAGGCAAATTGAATCTTTCATTATGTCTTGCCATACTAGCTTCAGCATCGATTCTACCGTCATCCATCGCAGACCTCTGTCCTTCACCATCCTCTATCTCCGACTTAGACAATGGGATTGGTACCTTCGGATATTCATTGCCTTCCTCGAGCAAGGTAGCACTTATTGACCACCATTGAGGAGAATCTAACCCAAAGCGTTTACCTTTTGGTTGTCGATAATCTGCACTTAACACATCCTCTTGAAACCAACAACCATAGGGTTTCGCCAAATCGTCATCATTCTTCCCTTTGAACCTAGCACATTGATCCTCCATGTGATCCACCATGCCTAGTAGTTTATCGTAACGCACCGCCACTTCCAACACCTGATCTTCTATCATCAACCTTAAATTGTGACAAATGGCTTGGAGATGTCAATTGCAGTACGAACCCGCAAGATACTCCCAATCACCTCTTCTCTCCTATTTTGTTCAGTCACCACGTAGGTCCCCAAACTATTCCCTATCAGTTGACCCATCTACCGAGACATATACTGGAGGGGTAAACCCTTAATCTGCACCTAAAACTCTTGGTAGCTTAACGGAATCATTGAGGGATGAGTAAGATCATCGGCTTCCGCCAGCACCAAAAGGGCTCTATCAAATAACCATGGCCCTCCCTGTAGCACTGTTGTTCTATCTCGTACATTGTCGAACCCAAAGGAGAATAGATCTTGCTCCAATTCTACAATCGTAACCATCACCTTCAGTCTCCACAGAAATTGCATCTGTTTTTTAAATCTCTCCTTGTTATAGTATTTATGCATTAGAACTCTTCCAACTAAGAACATTTTGGAAGAACGCAACAACGGACCAACAATGGTCGATTTCTGCAATCAAATCAGAAACCTGGAACCTTCGCCGTCTTTGGCCGCCTATAGAAAAATCTCTCCTAGAGCAAGCCCTAGAGAAAAAAAATTTCATATCCCTAATTGATTTAAACATGAATTACTTACTTGAATAGAGTCAATCTTTAATTGGGAATGTATTAAAAATAGGATTTGGGTAATTAATCCTTGTCTTTCATGCTTTGACTTTTCCTTATCATGGGTAGGTGAGCTGTGAGCAGTCATATTCAGCTGCTTGGACCTTTAGGGGTGCTGAGCTACGTGTGTATATGAGAAGTCTACCCATTTAATGAGGCAAATCTTGTTTTTCTCAAGTAAAAGTCCACGTGTCGTCTCTAGACTTTCTGAAATTCTTTTAGGCTCCACAAAGAGTTGTTTATTTTCTGAACAATATAATGGCCATTAGATTGAATTACATACAAGATCAAGGCCATTATTTAACTACCAAAAAGTACCAATTTGGGATACATCTTTCTGCATAAGTTCTAATCGGTGGCAGCCAAATAAACCAAGTGATGGCTGCCAATTATTCAAACGGTGCTGCAACTTGAATTTCAAATTCAACGGTTACCAACGTAACCATCTCACCATTCCAATTTCGTTCCTCCCCAATTTTAATCATGTTTCGAAAATCATTCCTACAAAAAAAACTTTAATAGTGCATAACTTGCCATTAAACCATGATAAGTAGCACTAACACTAAAAACTTATCATATGGTAGGCTTCAAGTATAATTTTCTGCCATAAATTTAGGATTTGGATCCTCTCCAGATCCCCTCCCTGAGGATCTCGGGGATCAAGGCACAAGGACCGTTCATCAAAGATTGTGTAGCCACAATTAAATGTTTTTTATATTTTTAAAAGTAAAGCATTCTCGTTTTGCGTAAAAAGCATTTAATTGCAGCCGCACGATCTTTGATGAACAATCTTTGTGCCTTGATCCCTGGGATCCCCAGGGAGGGGATCCGGAGAAGATCCAAATCCATAAATTTATATTCAAAGTTCTTACGGTTAATAGACACCATTAGATTCATTTAGCGGCCTATGTTTTTCCTCTTTTTCTCCGACTCTTTTTCCTCTATGATTTCACCTATTGCTCCCAAGTGTTGGTCCGGACCATTTGTAGGTGAAGTGGACAGGATCAAGAGCAGGTATTGACAGTAGCACGGAAGGAATGAGAAAGGAGTACGGGAGAAGCAGAAGTGTAGGATTTAGGATTACGTTTTCTAGCTAGGTTTTCTTTTCCTTTTCGGTTTTTTAACCCCTTCAATTGAATAAAAATTTCTTGAGCGTTGAAGATCATGTGGTTGTCCACCACCTTAACTGCCACATGATATAATTGGTATAAGAATAATTGTGATGTTCACCCTAGTGAGGGTTTAATCTCCACCGATTTCGCTCATTCTTTACGTTATTTAATAATTTAACCCACTAACGTTAAGATAAAATTGTAATACAAATGATTAGGTGCTTGATTAATTTGATAACTCTAACGTTGTGGTTTTCCATCCAAAAGGACATGTTGATTAGGCGTGATTATGTGAATTGTCCCGAATGAATAGAGTGAGATGGCCTCACCCTAGCTATATTTGTGGGAAACGTTCACATGACTGACAAATGTATTAAATTTTCTTTATCACAATGCAAAAATTCTTAAATGTTTTAGAATACCGGATATTCTGAGTGTTTCAACCGTTAAATCTTTATTTTTTTTATTTTTAAACAAAAATCTAACGATTATAACACTAAAGTAATTGGCACCATCAGAAATGGCATCAAATCATTCAAAAAGTTTCTCCAAAACAAGAAAGTAATAAATAAAAAATAAAAATAAAAAAACCTAAAAACTAGCAAAACCATTTTGGAAATGCAAGTTGTCACCTTTGGTGCTGGAAATTCTTACATGTCAGTGATGTCACTATATGTATATCCACATGTGCGTATAGAAAGATGATTATTTGGTACTTCCCCAGCTAACAAGCCTAACATGATTCTTAATGGGAAATTTTATTTGAGCTTATGCAACTTTTTTCTACATCTAGCTTACTCTTCACACCTATATTATTTTTAACTAAACTATCAATATCTTTTTAAACCTAAATTTACTACCTAAATTACCCTCATCACAAACCCAATTTGATAGGTAAATTTATCTTTACACCCATTTTCAAAAAGTAAAACATCTAAATCAAAGCATATGTTTTCTTCAGGCCTAAGCAATCTTGTAATTCTTCAAGCCCTTTATAAGCAAAACGATATTGAGGGATTGAAAGAATTGTTTGAGGAATGGGATCCATTTGCTTTAGTTTTCATATGAGGTTGGCAAATGTTGCTATATGCGGGTAACTCAGTCAGGGCATGCATGAAGAACCAGAATTGATCTTTGCAAGTGCCTGTAAGAAGACTAAAGGGTCTTTCATGAAAGCTCGGGAAATGCTCATGGCTCACGCCTTGAATACCCGTAAGGTGGATTTGGTTGTAGCGAATTGGGAGCTGCTATTTCGGAAAGCAAGAACGAGGAATTGCATCCATCCCCATATACCAAAGTTGCATTTCTCAAGTATTTTGAGGATGAGAAAGATGTTGACGGTGCTGATAAATTTTGTGAGATTCTGAAGCGTCTAGGTTGCCTCAGTTGCAATGAGTATTATTTGCTGCTTAAGACTTACATAGTTGCAGGAAAATCAGATCTTGAGATGCGCCAAGGATGGGACATCGAGTGAATTTTTTCTTTGAGTTCATAAAATAATTAAAATAAAATAAAAACTCATAAATCGATTCATACTTTAGTTGGAAGATCAAAAACTTCAAAATCACTATCTATTTGTCAAAAAGAGCTTATTTTCTCTATGAGAGCGTATTAAGATTTTAGCCAAAATAGGACATAAGAGAAAGATTGCATAATAGTAAGATTTGATTATTAAATGTGGGTTTATTGATACATTTTAGTTTTCTTGTTAATTTTATCTTATACTTTATAGTAATTGTGCAATAGGATAAAAAAGACACTTCACATTTAAAATTTAAGTTAAGTGTAGAAAGAAGTTATATGAATTCAAATAAAATTTCTTTTTTTAAATACGTGATCTGTTTACTCTGCTGAGAATTTTGACATCTTTCAATCGAAAGAAAACTAATTTCACGCCCGATGGGATGCCAACATTGTAGTCGATACTCGATGGACTAGTTCAATTAGCCATTTATTTCGAGCACGATGTATTTTGGTTGGAGAAACTACCGGATCTCGTTCGGACGCCCTACTTGTAAATTTTAATATTTTGTTAGTAATAAAATGCTACCGTTTTTGCTTAAAAATAGAAAGAAAACTAATTTTTATTCGTTAATACGTGAAAGAATGTTTCTTATAGAATATTCAGCTGTACATGACCATCAACAAAAACCAATGCTCAACCAAAAATTCATCAAAAATAATTAATAAATTAAACACATTTGCCAACCAATAATTGACACTGCACGAACAAAAGAACTACGTACTCCACACATATAACAAAATCAGCATTCTTGCGCTTTGAGCATTATCTCGGATTATCCCTTTCTCCTCCCCAGTTTTTCCAGTTTTTGGTACTAATTTCCAGTTTCTGTACGAATCATGCAATCTCTCTCTCTCTCTCTCTCTCTCTCTCTGTATACATATACATATACATATACATATACATATACATATACATATCCTTTTTGAGAACTGTTTATTCATTTTTTTTCCAGAAGTTCATTTTCCTGAATGTACATTTTTATTATTTCGTTTGGAAAAAATTATATTATTTTCCTCATCATTACTTCGCATTTGGAGTAGGAGGAATGATCATATTCATATACAGTTGATTTCTACTTAAAACTTTTTCTTCTTCTTTTTAAAAATCTTAGGGAAGACTTGCGGTCTGAAACAGTGCATTAATTTGTCAATTAATTAAGAATATAAACTGTTAGGTAGTGAGGAACCAGAGGATGTCAACTACAAAATTATATCTTAATCTTCTGTGATTATTTCCATGTTCCTTCATGAGATTCCTAGGGCAATTCATACAATTCGCCCTAAATTATGACTAAATGCAAATACCAATATCAACTTCATTTCTATAAATTGTTGCAGCATATTGTTAAGACCTCACTCCACATTAATTTCAAGACGAAACTTTGTAGCTATGCCTTCTTCTTTGCAAAAGATTTCTCAATCTGTCGAAAGGTAATTTACTGGTTCTTAATTATTTGTTATGGCTTAATTAATTTTATGAGATATTTTTTTTTTCTTAATTTCTTTTTTCGTTTTCTCGTTGCAAATGTAGTCGCAGTTCGGATGAAAAGTACGCTGATGTAAACTGGGATGAGCTTGGATTTGGAGTAATTCCCACTGAATTCATGTACATCATGAAATGTTCCAATGGAGGTGAATTCTCACAAGGCCATCTCACTCCCTATCGAAACATTGAGCTCAGCCCATCTGCTGGAGTCTTGAATTATGGACAGGTAACAATGGTACATTTTGCATGCTTTGTTGCTAGCTAGGTAGCTTATTCAGTCAAATTCCATTACTGTCGTGGAGAAATGTTATCTTGTTAAACTGTGAATATTGACCATTTGTTAAGTAGATTCCTGCCAAGATGCCTCACTCATATTCACTTTGCAACAACATAATATTATTAGACCATCTCCAAATGAGATGTCAAATCCTAAGTGGAGTGTCACACAATCAAATGTGAAAATAAGAAGAAATTCCAACCGATATGTCAATCCTACATGGATTGACATATAAACTTTTGATGTCAACTTTGACATATGAAAAAGTTGATGTCAATTAATTTTTTTTCATTATTTTATTGTATGGGTCTTATAAATCCACCAAATATAAATCTTGAAAAAGTCTGACATTGTCACCAGTCATTAAATTAACATTTGACATTTGTTTTTTGATATCTTCGTTGAAAATGCTCTTCTGTTATTACGCTATGGAACTTTTGGTGACATAAATATGTGCATTGCGGTTTTGTCAGGGTTTATTCGAAGGTCTTAAGGCGTACAGGACAGAAGATGATCGATTTCTGCTCTTTAGGCCTGAAGAGAATGCTTTAAGAATGCAGATGGGGGCAGAGAGAATGTTAATGCCATCACCATCTACTCAACAATTCCTGGATGCTGTGAAGCAAACAGTCCTTGCCAATAAGCGTTGGGTATTCACGTTTTCACTTTAGACCTTACACTCTCGAATTCACAACTCGACTAGTTTACATGTTCAACATAATTGCAAAGAAGTATTCCCAATGCTGAAATCTGTTCTTGATCTCTCGGATATGTACATGTACAGATACCACCTCCAGGGAAAGGAACGCTGTATGTTAGGCCGTTGCTCATTGGAAGCGGACCTGTTCTTGGCGTGGCACCGGCAGCAGAATACACATTCCTCGTATTTGCTGCTCCAGTCGGTATTTATCACAAGGTGTGGTTGAGCAAAACTAGCTAGAGCTGACTAATTGCATACACAATCATGATAAAGGGTACTTAGTTTTTTGGTTTCTGTGCATTCGATAGGGCCCAAAAGGCCTGAACTTATATGTCGAGGATCAACTGCATAGAGCTACTCCTGGTGGAACTGGAGGTGTCAAGTCCATCACCAACTATTCGCCGGTAAGCATAACTTCTTAGTTTTCTTGGTCAAAATATAAAAAATTTCGATGTTTCAAGCGCAGCAGCATGTACCAAAGCAAGTCACAGCTTGAAAGTAATATATCATCCACACATAAAACTAAAATAATGAATTTACTCCTACTAATCTTGAGGTATACGCATTCATGAGCAACATTTTCCTCAAAACCATAAGAGGTGATTACATTGTCAAACTTCAAATAACATTGGCGGGATGTCGCTTTATTGTCAAAGAAACCTTCTGGTTGTTTCATGTATACCTCCACTTCAAGATCTACATTTAAAAATGTTGTTTTCACATCCGTATGATGTACTGTAGATCAAAATGAGCAAATAAAGCCATGACTATTCTCGATGAATCCTTCTTCGAAATCGGAGGGAAGGTCTCATGGTAATCAATGCATTCCTTTTTAGTTGAACCCTTAGCTACAAGTCTAACTTTATATCGTTTAATACTACCTGATGCATTTCTTTTAGTCTTATAGACTCATTTATATCCAATAGCCCAAACTTGATTTTTAGCCATAGATTCCATTTCATCTCTCATGGCATTATACCAAAGATTAGAGTTTGGTCCATTCATGACTTGGAATGTAGATATCCTTATCTCTACTCCCTATCTTTTTGTTTTGTTCATTTTGAGCAGTAGGTTCCACATGAGCTTGTTCTTCAAGGAGTGGTTCCACTTGAATGGGTTGTATTTCAAGAGTATTAATTGAATGATTCTCTTGAAAAACAACCAGTTTTCCTTTTCTCGTAGAAGACTCATTGGACTCATTAGTTTCCTCAGTTTATATATTACGAGCAGATTCACTCCCACTGAGCTCATGATCTACAACAAATTTAGCATTTCTAGCTTCAATAATCCTTAAGATGGAGGGAGACTTGAATTTTTGATCATGCTCCTTATCATGTCCATAAGTATGTAGTTCCCTCTTTCGGCTACACCAGTTTGTTGCGGTGTGTGCCAGGCATTGTATGGTATGCAATAACACCTTCTGCTTCAAGGAACTTAGCAAATTGACCCGGCATTTGTCCCCTTTCTGTGTACCTTCCATAAAATAGGGTCATAAAATAGGGTACAAGTTGATTGAGTTCAAACTGTGCTTTTGGGGTTTGTTCTGTAGGCTTACCTAGCACAACAACAAGCAAGGGCCAAGGGGTTTTCTGATGTCCTATTCCTGGATTCTGTGACCGGAAAATACATAGAGGAGCTGACAGCATGTAATATTTTCGTTCTGAAGGTAATGTTAATGAATATTACTGCACTTTTACTCCACAATTCCAATTCGAAATCGTAAAACTGCTTCGTTGTTGCAGGGTAATGTTCTTGCAACTCCAGCAGTTCATGGAACTATTCTTCCTGGAATCACTCGTAAAAGCATCATCACCATCGCCCTCGATTTTGGATACCAGGTTATATTATTACTCTTCATTCTTCATCTAGAAAGCCTATCAATAAGCTCTTCATTCTTATAGTTTTTGTATAACAAGATTTAATAAGAGCATGCATGGCTTTCTTCAATCAGGTCGAGGAACGTGTAATTCCGGTGGAGGATTTGCTTGAAGCTGACGAAGCTTTCTGCACAGGAACTGCTGTTGTTGTCACCCCAGTTGGTGCTGCAACTTATCAAGGCAAAAGGTACGGAGATAATTGAACTTGTTTCTCTTTTTTCTCTTGTTTTTTGGTTTTCTGGTTTAATGTCCGGATGCCACGACGTTGCGTTTGCAGGGTTGAGTACAACACAGGAAAAGGAACACTCCTTCACAAACTGCGTGAAACCCTAACAGGAATCCAAACAGGGCGTCTGGAAGACAAGAAGGGATGGACCATGGAGATCAATTGAGTTTTCTCCTCCGTCTATAGATCGAACGTTCCAAATCCGAATAGTTAATCTGCTCTTCTTTTCATTTTTTTTCTTGGTTCAACCTTGTTGAATAATTTGATGGTGTAAACAGAACTAAACCTTGCTCATCCTGCCCCTATTTTAATAAAATTCCGGAAAAAACCAGCTTTGTATGATCTCATCGTAATAATCCGGTAAACGGAGCACGTTCAAAGTGGGCTTAATGGGATGGAATAACTTTCGGGTGGTTAGAAAGACTTCTTAAAACAGAATATATAAGACAAGCAAATATAGAACATTACCATTTACTCTCAATGCCGCAGTTTGGGTGGCAAAGCCATCAAAGCCATGGCCGGAATTTTCCTCGTGTTCTAACCAAAGTTGCCTCCTGCGGATGCAACATTATGTGGTTTTCAAAAATGTAGCACTGAGAATAAGATGGGATTGTGCTGTGAAAGTTGAAATTTCAGATGAAAAATAAGGGAAAAATCTCAACATGAAAATAATTCATTAATTTCTACTTCTAATGATGTTTAGCTGCTCTATAAATAAGTCATTCCAACTATCTGTTAATCCTGGCAAGCACCAGTGCATGCAATCGTCGTGCTTCTTTCCCCCGGCAGTGGATGGATGGGCATCTGCTCTGAACTCACTCATGTGGGTTATGTCCAAAATCTGGAAACTTGATCCTTTAAGGGCCTTGTAGAGGTGTTGATTCGCCAATCGTGCCTCCACGTTTGTACCATTATTCTTCACTGAGAAGAGTTCTTCAACCTGGAAAACAAACCGTAATGTTATACAAGAGCTTAATTGAAACAACACAAAGAAAGTAAAAGGTGTTTGTGCTAGGGTACAAATCATAACATTCATTTTGCTCAAAAGCAAATACAGACATAAGATCCATTCGGGTTATTATAGCATCATGCAACTCACCTGCTCTACCGACAAAGGCTTTAGCCGGTTACAAGAGCCACCTTGGTCCCAGTCACCCCCTTTAAAATGTCTAGGTGATTGAGTACGAAACAATTTGACTGCACCTGGTTTCGTTCTGTTCTCCACAAGCATTACCTACAATGAACGAATCCATCAAAAACATGATCACCATAATACTCCTCTATATTTCTCATGGAACATAAAATTAAACAAATTATGAAGCTTTTTATCTTAAAAAAATTGTGTACCATGTGGTTCAAAACCATATCAAGGCCAACATTAGGGAGCACTGGAGGAACCACGGGCTGACCCTTTTCAAAAAAAAGCATGGGCGACTTTGTCGGGTCAAACTTTGAAGGAGCCCACCACCTGTTTATTCATAAGAACCAAAAAATCAAATGACTAACTTTTCACATTTAGAATTTTACTGCTTCTGGTATTTAAATGGCCGCTTTTTATGGTCCTCTTGAAGATAGACAAATAAGGGTTGGTTTCTGTTCCTGTTGTGCTTGGTATTTACTTGGAGAATCAATTAGATAATAGAAACTTTAATTCCTGATCGCCTCGTGGGAAAATCAACAAGCTTCACGGAATATTTCAAATTGCTTGATCTCTTCTATCTTACTAGTAATGTTTTCCTACATCAAAATTCTTCTCACTCGCCATCGATATAAGTAAATTGTATCGTGATTATCAATACCAGGCTAAATGATACATATTACTTACTGTAATCACATTATGAAATTAAAAAGAAGAAGTAATTTTAATCACGTAATAAATGTATCCACCACATTTACAAAAATCTTGAATAAAAAAAATTAAAAAAAAATAAAAAAAAGAATAAAAAGAATTACCAGTGCCCTGTGTTAAAGATCAGAATGTCATGAAAGCTTAGAGCTTCTGCCCATGTCCCATCTGGAATGTCAACATCAACTCTATAGCCCTCCTTATATCCAAGAGATTCCAGCTCCCCACCATTAGCATCGGCTGACCACCTGCATCAAACAAAAGCATAAATAGCCTAAGTGCACAAATAAACAGACAAACATCAGAGCTTCACATGTGTGAGACGTCATTCAGTTCCCCATCGTTTCATCTAATTAAACAAACGCTTAACCATCACATAGCTGCAGACGTAGCTTACCTACCATAATGTGCCAAAAGATTTGTTCGATGGTATGCAAGGGTGAGATTATACTGAAGAAATGTAAACCCGCGATCAGCACCAGCTGGCCGCCACTTCTTTACTTCACTTGACGCTCGTTTCAGAGAACAGAAAAGCGAAACAAACATATTGCGGTTCAATGAATCACCAACGAACCCTGCACTGTAGAACATCCATAAGGTTTCCATACATACAACCTAGGATTCAATATATATTTATTGCTCTACCACAAAGTCCTTCAAATCATCCTATCTATCGCATTTGATGTGGCGTTTAAACTAAGTACCAAATGCCGGTCTATCAGATATCCTTAAAAACTAAAACGTTGGGTCCATTAGAATTAAGCAGCTAAGAAAACAGAGGCCTGCATTCAATCAAGTAATGTAAATTTCAAAATTCAGGATTTCAGTATGTTTATCTCTTGCCCTAGCTTCAGATGCCAGATTTTCTCACTCTTTCTCAGCAACCAAACAGACAATAACTTCACATGACAAATAAATAACTTGAAACATATATAAATAAGAGAGAGAGAGAGAGAGGAGAGAGAGAGAGTACCAATGCTGGTGTGTCTGTACATCTTCAGAAACCGAACCGGATCGAACGGCGGTAGATCACAACCCTTGGGCTTCCATCTCCACTTGAGTAGTTCCCGACCGTTGGATTTGCCGCTGGAAATGCAATTCCATCCCTTGAATATCTCCTTGCAGGTATTGTCGTACCTCAGAGGGGAATCCGGGTCGTGGATCCATTTTCCGTCGGAGTAGTCACACGACCCGCCCCGACGACTCGGGTCGGATCCGTCAGTCTTTCGGAATTCGAAGCTCGCGTTATGCGGCCGCGGAGGAACGGAGGTCTTTCGAATGGAGGAGAGGACGAGGAAGATGGAGACAAAGCAGACGAGGGAGAGGAAAGGGAAGAGTGGGACTTTCCTCGTCTGGTTTTGCTGTTGAGAGTGTTGCTCTCTGGAGGCCATGCTTTCACTCTCGTGGATGACTTTTGGCGCAGGTTTTTAGCCCCAACCGCAACTTATAAAAACACTTCTCCAGCAAAAAAGACAATATTATAAAAGCGCTTTGTTGCTCGGTTTTTTCTTGGACGGTTTCTTGCAAAAGCACTTTGGCTTACACTTCGGAGCACTTCTATTAAAATGTTTGTAGTGCTTAAAAAAAAGGCACTTAGAAATACTTCTAGTAATGTCGCAAGCAATTTTGAAGGCCTAAAATCGTTTTTAACTATTTTAAAATTATTCTAACCCTCATAAAAGAAATGTCAAACAAGCCTTTATTGACGATTTTACATTACTTGTTTGTTTTTGGTGCCAAAAATAAGGTAAACATAAGACGAATTGGGAGTTTTATGAAGTGACAATTTTAAGTTTCAAAGTAAAATACGACTAAGTTTTATTTTAGACAGCAAATGAATAACCAAGTTGAAAAGATAAACTAACTCAATTGTTAAAAATAAAAAGACAAATCCGTACACTAATAAGTTTTAAGGTATTGCCATTTATACACCTATTTTTACTTCTCACGTACCTTTATCAATTTTCGTCAGATTGAATGAATTGAAGATCAATGACAACAATTAACAAGAGTATAAATAAAAATGAGTGTGTGAATAACACTATTCTGAGTTTTATTCACCAAATAATATGGCAGTTTCTCAAAGTGAAATGATTTTCACACCCTTTCCCAACCTCTACACGCTCCTCTTAATTTATATTCCTTGATTATCCTTCAATTTATTCAATCCAAATGTGTAGACACATGCCCTTTTCAAATTTAAGTAGAGTCTGGATGTGGTGAATCTGGACATCAGTTTTTTGGAAAATCATTGGATGACATTCATTCATGAAATATTAAATTGATCACGACGAGATTATTTTGTGTTTTATAAATGTAATGAACAAGATCTAGAGTACTAACATATCTTTTACTGCAACAACAGGAAGAAGGAGCAGCAATGTTGAGGAAAATAAATACATCACGTCAAAGAATACATAGTGAGGATGTCATACCCGAGCGCACAATTTGGCTCTGTACTTCCTTTCAACATAAACTTACCCTTCGGGCGCTGAAGACGTTTCGTACTCGGTGTTTTTACCAAGAGGCTGATAGAGCAAAGATGCAATTTTGTGATTCTTAATGGTATGACTTGAGGTGGAAAACTTGGCACGTAGGTGTGTAAGATCTCTTTAGTGAAGCCTGTTCAAACTTCTTTGAGGCTACTTCGTTCTCTTCCAAGCTTGTTTGAACAAAGTACCTTATCCACCATGACGAGCTTCGCAATTTCGCCTTTAAAACAAAATCGTTGCGTCATTCTACTAGATTTAAGTTTTGTATGAAAGGAGGCTAAACTTGCCACAACCATACAGTGATACAACCAAAGCAAGAAAATGAAATTGAGAATCAAAAAAGGTGTTGCACCAACAATTGTCATCAATGTGTATGAGAAGTCGCAATATTATTAAACATTAATAACTTACTGGACGGCCAAATTTGGATGGCTCTGCAACTTTAGCTTTATGCTGACTTGGATAACCTATAAAAGGAAATGACACGTATATAAAAAATCAAAGAGAACAATAACTGTCATGTATGATTTTGCATAATCGATCAAGGGCCGGGCCAACTAAAACATTATGTTTAGATTTTGGTTAGGAAAACAATACGCATGCACCTCTACCAATTAAGTTCAAGTATTAGCTTCTACTAATTGATTGTGAATAGCAATCCAGACAAGCACCATCATTATATCTCATTTCGGGTGTGGTGGGGGTTCAGTGAGAAATTTTTACCTGTAAATATAACAACACCATCAGCAGATACCCTCGCCAACTCTGGAAGAGTTCTGTTGAGGTACTTCGGAGACAAGTAATCTAATGCATCCGATGCAATTACAAGAGAAAACGATTTTGGCCGGTATGGCAAAGGAAACTTTATATCAGCAGCACGCACAATGCCTTTGTTCACGAGACTCTTGCAACTTGCATCAGCATCTTCTAAGTCATATGGCTCCACACCCCAGGCTTCAGTATCCACCTCTTTCAGTAATTTAGATACCACTGAACAGGTTTCAGGGCCCACATGCAACACCTTACGCATGCTATCACCATACGCTTTCTTTAGTATAGGTATTGCTCTCTGAACTTCAAACGTACACGAAACACCACCTGCATGTAAATATAGAGATTTTCAGACTGTAAAATAGTTTTTCTATCTGGAAAAATATGCTGACAGTACAACACAAAAATTCAGAGAACTATCTCTCACGGCAAAAACTTTCTAGTACTTATAAAAAAAAATAAAAAAGAAAAACAGTAAGAATTTCTCATGCATGACATTATCATAGTCTCAAACAACTGAGATTGTGAACGCAAATTGTCTGAACAGTTCAAAAGATTAATTCTGCACAGCCTTGTTCCTGTAGGAGCAAAAACTAATACAGGAATCTAAGGAATTATACCTAGAATACCACAGAATTGGACATGCTCGATAATAACACAGTTCAAAGACGTTTTCTACGAAAGGTGAGTGATGGAAGGTAGACAAAAGAATGGATCATTAAATATACCTTCAAGTTTAATTACAGCCTCCTTAGTGCTCCGGCCGCCTGTAATTCAAAACCATAATTATTGAGAACAAAAAGGAATGTAAAAAGTACAGGGTTGGTTGCTCTCAGACTGACTTACTCAATTGAGCTGAGCTTTTTTAGAAGGAAAAGGAAATTGCTTTTTCAATAAACCTTACTTACAAGTAGAAGTCAAAACAACTACTAACCTGACCCGCTAAAAGTGTAGAAGACGAGAAGAATTGCACCCTGAAATTTAAAAGTTAGTCAGTATTTTAGTAAGAAACTAGACCTGTTTGTGTAATAGGGTTTAGTGACAGTATTACTACTAGGATTCAAAGATGCGTGGACACATTTTAGTCTTCTGTTTGTGACTGTTTTCTGGATATGCTAGGATTACACCATGGTCTTAAAAACTCATGATGAACTGAAAGAACAATGGTGATAGAAAGTACCACAAGCACAAGTCCTATGGACAGTAGAGGTGAAGAGCGTGCTTTGGATTGCACCGCACCCACAAATGGTATACTTCCACCGTCACCAATGCGTCTAGAAGGATTTACTGGCCTCCTCGACATGACTTTAAATACTTTAGACTAAAAATCCTGCAAAAGGTAGCAAAATTTGAAACAAAACTTTCATTAGCAGTGTTTCCAAATGCCTTCTGCCGAAACATTTTTCTAACTGTTTTCTACTCATTGATCTCAACTTGTTCACATAATCCAACTAAACGGGCACAATAAGATCTACTGGCTTCCATATCAACACGAAATTCGCATTCAAAACATCAATTTCGAACGCATACACATTGCAAACTGCCACCTCCTAATCCAAAATTATACACAATATTGCTTTCTCACATAAATCTACCCACAACCCATTACTCAATTCAGTATTATCAATCAAATAGTTGCATAATTTTAGCAAAATTCCACAGAAACATGCATGTTTCAGCTCAAATACTTGCAAATAACACCAACCCATTAATCCAATCAGCTACGAAATTAGCTAGAACTCAAAAACACAACATAATAATGCAATCTTCAACCCAAATAACAAAAAACAATTCAATTTCGATCGAATAACCAGTGAATTAAGCTACTCTGTGGATGAAATCAGTCGGTTGCATTCAAAGAAACGGATCTAGAATCCGAGAAAGAAAAGGAAAAAGCAATGATGCGAGAAGTAAACGGAGAGAAACCTGGGGAAAATTCAGCGGGAAAATCTGGATTAGGAGATCTAGAGCGCGATTCAGATCTGAGAGATGGTTTTTTCTCTCTTTAGCTTGCAGGGTCCTGCACACGGCAAGTCCATCTCTACTAACTAAAAGTAAATTTAATAGAAGAAAATAAAAGTAATTTAATAAACACCGACGCTATATGTGCAAGTGGAATTGCATTTTATTCTCAGTTTGCTTAATTTTTGCTATAACAAAGTGATATTTATTTGCACAAATATTAATAAAATAATCTATTTTTTATTTATTGACTTTCAAGGGGGAATGAAAAGGAGTATCACAAAATAAGCATTTCATATTGAAGAGAGGTTTTCAACCGGCGTTTAAAATATTAGTGTCGGTGGAAATATCGATAAGCAAATTTGTGAAAATATCAATGGATATATCATATATTTATTTCGACATTGATTGCCTTCTATGGAAATAATGGAAATTTACATGGAAATTTAAAATTATTTTTTAAGGAATGTCTTATGGTCATATGAAGCCACAACGCATGTATGAATCAAGAATTAATGATTAGATACTGTGTAAACAATACGTATGTGATATGTGAAATGAAAGACTTCCTTATAATGACAAGTAATAAAATAAAGCATTTCACTAGAAACAATAAATTATACATACTTTAATTGAAATTTTCATCATGAAAGCGGAATAAGTTTTATTGAAGTAAACTAATACTATAAAGAAAGAAATTAAAAAAATAAAGAATGCATTGGCTGTGACATTCCGTCCCGAAACGATCGAAATGTATATGTGAAATGACATTTTTACCCCTAGATCGTTTCTTTTACGTTATTGGTTGTTTTGTGTGGTGTTGGCAAGTGTTGGGCCACACACACACACAGTCACTCTCCCTCACCCTCTGCTGCTTTTCCCTGTCTCTCTCTCTCTCCCGAGTCCTCTATCATTCCTCTTCCTTCTGAAAACGTACGGGCACACACCAAACCCACCAAACCTTAGCAGATCAAGGGAACTAAGGCCATAATCGAGCTCGTGAGGTCGAGGGGAGCACGATCGTACCATTTTCAGGTAAGGTTATCACCGTATTCACGTTGTTTTCACAAGGTCTGATTTGAGTACTATTCATGCAAAAATAATGTAGCACGTTTTTGGGATTTTGAAGCTCGTAGGTAGCTTGGTGGTGTCCCAAGGAGCCTCGGAGTGCTTTGTTGGACGAATTTGGACGTCGGGATCGCCCTGTTTGAACTTGGCCGGTTTTGGAGGTTGGTGACAGGTGAGATTTCGTAGGTTTTAACTCTTAAAAGTTGTATGGACGTGTTCTACTAGTCTTAGGCTTCATTTTGGTGTTAAAATCGTGAAAAACGGTTGAGAAACGAGTGAGAAAACACGAATTGTAGGTTTTTCCAGTTTCCGGCGGCGGCGACGGCGCCGGAGGTTAGCCGGGGAAGGAGACGGAATATTCCGTCAAATCTGACAGAATATTCCTGGCGCCGTTGACGGAATCCGTTAGAACTAACGGAATATTCCTCACAGCGTCAGTTGACGCCGTCCGTGTGCACCGCACGTGCCTGTGCGTGGCCGGCGCGTGTGGCCGTGCCTTGGCTGACGCGTGGGGGCGCGTGCGACGGTGGAAAATTTTTCTAAAAATATGGGTGTGATCCTGAGGTTGTGTAGAGCACGTTGGTTTATTCAATTGTCCATTTTGAGCAATGTATGAGAAGTTATTACGAAAGGAAGGTTATGTGCTTTAAAATTAACGTTTTTATAGTATTTTCGCATATAGGTGAAACGTATCCCGAGGACGAGCGTGCTCACTCGAGGCAGGGGGGCTACGACCCTTCCACATACCAGTGAGTGGGCTTTTGATTTCCGTACATACCTATATACATATAATTCCCAGAAATTAATATAAATGCTTACTAGTTACATGCCATTCCTTTTATGTTATTGATTGATGTGCATGGTTAGTGGCATATATGTTGGTTTACATATTCATTCACATGTCATATATATATATATATATTAGTGCGGTGGAGGCACAGGTAAATGTCAGGTAAGCGTTATTTAACATTTGCATTAAATAGTGATTAGAGGTGCTTAGAGAGCTCATAACCTGCACCCCCGGTGTTAGTGCTTCTGCCCAGAGTAGGGCACAGTCCTTCACGTGTTGTTCACCTCCCGCACCATACGCTCAGCTTGGATCCAAGTTAGGTGCACAGTCCTGTCGTACAGACCACTATAGGTGGTTCCGACTCGTAGGTGACCCGCGATTATTCGCACAGCCTTCACGTGATCGTAGCACTAGAGCGTTTATATATGTTACACCCAGGCCTGTCGTACAGACCACTTTAAGTGGTTCCGACTCATGGGCAGGTTCAGTTATCTAGTTTGAAATTTGAGCTCTAGATGCAGCCGTACAGGTCACATTAGGTAACTCCGGCTGCCAGATTATATGCTATTGATGTGATTTATATCTGAGCACTTGCATTTCATTCTGAGGTTCCGACATGGCATATTATGGAGCATGATTGGCATATCTATATATACATGCATATGTTTATTTTCTGGGAAGTATACAGGTTTTACGGCGAGGGGTTAGAATATTGTTTTTGAAATGGTTTTTGAAAAGCTTTGTTTTTGCCCACTCACGCTTTTGTTTTGCGCCCCTCCAGGTTCTAGTTGCTAGCAGGTTCGGTGGTTTCCCAGAGGGCTTTCCGGCATTTCTGACAGACACTCACCAATGTAGGGTCACCTTCGGGTGCACTGTTGTCGTATCATTTTAATTTGGACTGCTGTAGACTTATTGCTCTGAACTTAGCGTCTCACTTACACTAGCACTCATTACTTTTATCGTTTGTATGCTAGTTTTTATTTATTCATACTTTTATATTATTACTTTATTAGCTTCCGCACTGTGCACATGGCTACGTCACTTCCACGTGACGGCCAACACGCCCTGATCTCGGTCGGGGTGTGTCATTGGCTCATGGATATTTCCTACAAACTTTTTGCAAATTGTCTACAAACACTAGATATTTCCTAAAAATATCAAAAATATCGTGGAAATTGACTGATTTCTGAAAATATCGTGAATATAGGGTGAAGTTACTTCACCCCCTCTTTCCATATCGTTCCTTAAATTTACGAATATTTCCGTGAAAATATCAGGTATATTCAGAATATTGCAAACGCTGTTTCCAACTAAGTTACCTTAGTCAAAGCTAGCGATTTTTTACCAAGCATGTCTTCAATGGTTGAACATGCGTCTGTTTGTAATGTCACAATATGTTATGTATAGTTTTAGTACCCAGAGTAATTTTTATTGCGCAAATTTTAAATTGTTCCAACTTTAGTGTATGAGAGCAAAAGTTAAAATTTTTTCTTTTTCTTTTAATTCCTTTTTCTTTTTCATAATTTTTAGATTAATTTTAATACTTTATTTTCAGAATAATGTGAATGAAAAATGAAAACTAATGAGGGCAAGGTTAAAAGTTTGAAAGTAAGTAATAAAACAATAAAAGAAAATAAAAGCTAATGATAAAAACTTTAAAATTTTGAATTTTAACAAAAAATCATGTAACAACTTTATTTAATAGTTATGACAAAACCTAACTTAAACTAGTCCAATCAAAGTCGCCCCAACCCAAATAACCTAATGAGTTTCCAGTTTTACTCCTGACAATTTTTAATTGTTCCGTTTGTTAGTCTTCCATTTTTGCTACTGTAGTGGAAGCTTCACCATAAAAGAAATACATTTCTCTTCTTCTTTTCTATTTCCCTGCAAATCTTTGTAATGAAATTGATGCTACGGTTGCAAATTTTTGGTGGGGACAAAGAGCTGGTGAGCGAAAAATTCATTGGGTTAGTAGGCAAGTTTTGGGAAGGCCGAAGCAGAAGGGGGAATGGGTTTTCGTGACCTCAAGGCATTTAATCTTTCTCTATTGGCAAAACAAGGGTGGCGTTTATTAATGGAGCCTGATTCTTTATGGGCCCGAGTTTTGAAAGACGGGTATTATCCTAATTGCTCTTTCCTTGAAGCTAAGAAAGGTGAGCTTCTTGGGGGTGGTCTAGTCTCCTGGTTGGCAAAGATGTTATTGCTTCGAATTCACATTGGCAAATCATGAGTGGGAATCAGGTTCGTGTTTGGGTGGACAGATGGATCCTGGATTTAGAGGGGGATGTCCCAATCCGGCCCCTGGAGTGGTGGCTGACCCAAATTTTTTGGTGACATCTTTGATCAACTTGCATACTAGATCGTGGTTAAAGGATGAGGTCGAAGGTAGGGTGGTTAAGAGGGATAAGGAGGCAGTACTTGATGTTTTTATTGGAGACCCCCGAGCAAAATGACTGTTTGATCTGGCCGCATGAACGTAGGGGAAGATTCACGGATAAATCGGGATATCATCGACTTTTCGATTTGAATCGTCAAAGTTGCATTTCGCGGCCCTTTTCTTCTATGGTGATCAACTCGGGTGTTTGGAAGAGGTTATGGTCTTTGGCTTCCCACCCCTCCCCCCACCCCACCCCCCCCCCCCCCCCCCCCCAAAAAAAAATTAGGCACTTTATGTGGAGAGCAGTAAGTGGGGCCATTGCTACAAAATTGAATTTATTTAAACGTAGGTGTGCTCCTAATCCTTTATGTCCCATTTGTCAATCTCAGGAAGAGTCTATCGAACATATTTTGCTTCTATGCCCATCGGTGGATAAAGTTTGGTTTGGAGGTATTTTGGGTTTGAGGATTGATAAGGCTGCAATAACTTCTTTTGGACGTGGCTTGATGGAGTGTGGTCCTCTCCTTTGGGGCATATTGAGGATAAGTAAAAGGCTTCTATATTGCTTTTGTGTGTTGGTCAGTTTGGAAGGCAAGGTGTAATATGGTTTTCAATTTTAAACTTCCTTCCCCTAGGAAGACTATCCTTGCTGCTTCAATGGCGTTGTCTTCTTTCAATAAGGCTATTCCGGATAGGGGCATAATGCGAATCTTGACGGTTGAGATGTCTATTACCCCTATGTGGTCGCCGCCTCCTTTGGGTGTTTTTAAAGTTAACGTGGATGGTAGCTGTCATGTTGTTGATAGAGGTGGTCATATTGGGGTGGTTATTAGGGACTCGACGTGCCGATGTTTGGCGGTGTGCAGGAAACAAATCCATGCAGCTTCTGTGTTAATGGCGGAGGCTTTAGGGATTTTGGAGGGATGCTTGATTGATTTGAGATGGGGCTATGAAGATGTTGTTGTTAAATCGGATTCGCGGAACCTCATTTCCTAGTTAAATGGGAACATTGGGCAGGGCAATTGGGAGGTTTTCCCGATTCTGTTGGAATTTTGTGGAGCAGCTAAGGCTTTCATATCTTGTAGTTGGGCTTGGGTGCCGAGAGCCTGTAATGGAGCGACATGCTTTGTAGCGTCACATGAGGGTGCGGAGATGAGCGACATTGTCTTGGTTGTAAGACCCCCATCTTCATTTGTTCGTGCGCTAAGCATGAGGGTACGGAGATGGCCTCTTTTGATTTATGTTAGGATGAGATTAAGGTGACTTGGGGCTTGTTCCAAGTCTGTGTTTTCTACCTTCTTCTCATTGTGTAGTTCTTGTTGGTCTCTCTTGGCCTTTTGCTTCTTTTGTCTTGCCCTGGTAATGTTATTCCCAATTTCTCAAAAAAAAAAAAAAAGAAAAGAAAGATCAAGAGAAGCCTCAAAATTGAAATTTGTTCCCCTTGTAAGTTTTCAATTTGTCTTCTTCTTTTTCATTTGAAAAAGGAAAAAAAAATTGATGTGCTTGGACTTCGAAGGAATCGTCTAGGTCGCCTGAGACGGGCAATGGCCTACTCCTCCGCCTCCTATCACGTCAATTGGATTATAGGTTTCTTACTTTTGGCTTATACTTTGGTGGTGTTTCAGATAACTTTCAACCTCTTGGGAATAATGGTTCTTGTCAACTAGTTGAATATAGGAATTAATTTGTTCAAACAAAGAACCTCAAATCAAATTTGTTTCTCATAATTTATACTAGCATAATTGAATTTTAGGAAACAAAATCATTTTGCGCAGATTTTCAAATTTATAGAGATGAGAGAGAGAGAGAGAGAGAGAGAGAGAAAGTTTAACGCCATTGTTGGACGGAGTTAAAGTTCTTGGCTTATTATTTCAATCATAGAATAAAAAGCCATGTGGTTGAGGTGTGTGTTCCCGCCACCTCAAAAAGTTTCTCACAATTAGCTATTAAACTAATTTATGATCACTAGGCTTAAAAGGGGAGTAGGATTCTCTCCTCTTAATCTCTCCCCTTATCTTCTCTCTTATTTAAACAGTTACGATTAAGTTATGTCAACATAATTTAATTTATATACTATTTTTGAAAATGAACCAAAATAACCCACACTATTTCATGAAGGGAACAAAATAAACAATATTTATGAAACTACAGCAAAATAACGAACACTATTTCTCAAACTGAACCAAAATAACCCACACTATTTCTTGAACTACAACAAAATTACACACTATTTCTGAAAACTAAACCAAAATAGCGCACACTATTTCTAGAACTACAGCAAAATAATCATACTATTTCTTAAACTGAACCAATATAACCACACTATTTCTGAAAATTAAGCAAAATAAACACACTATTTTTGAAACTACAACAAAATAACCACAATATTTCTGAAACTGAACCAAAATAGCCCACACTAATTTTGGAACTAAAGCAAAATAACCAACACTATTTTTGAAACTGAATCAAAATAAGTGACACTATTTCTTGAAGTACAATAGTGATAATACCAATGTTTAGTTTAAGAAATAGTCACTGTTTAGTTCTACAAATAGTTAGTGTTTAATTATAAAAATAGTGGTTGTGCCAGTGCTCAGTTCTAAAAATAGTGGTTGTGTTCAGTTCTAAAAATAACGTTCAGTTTGAAGATTTTACATTTTAGAGACTTTTCATTTGTTTATAATTGATAACTTTGTTTATTTATGGAAATATTTTAGCTATTTGCATTTTTTTTTTTCCTAGAAGAATCTCAAAGTATCAAATTTGTATAATTAACCCAAGAAAGTAAACATGACAAAAGTTGAAGGGGTTACTTATAGTTCAGAAAAAAGTATAACAAAGAGAAGAAGAAAGAATTAAGTTCAAACAAAAGTAAAAACACATTCGAAAAAAAAAGTGAGGCATTGCCCCCAACCATGACTAAACAAGTGGGTTCGCTTCCAAAAGCTTCCATTATAAGTAATATATTTAGTTTTTGGAAATTGTGTAGAGGAAAAATGAGAGTGGGAATGGTGGATGTCAGAGAGGGAAATAGAAGTGGGGATGGTGGACACCAGTTCATTACTTTCATGTTTAATAAGTTTGGAAAAAAATTATTTATTGTGTAGGGTTTTTAGTTCAGCCCGTGAGTATTTATGTTTGTAGGGCCTGTAATATAAATAGTTTTGTTGTAATGATTAAATTTTAAGTGTTTTTGGTTAAATAATAGTTTAGGGTGATAGAAAGAAAAATGGTTTGAACGTATGACGCAGTGAGTTAAAAAGAAAGACACTAATCATTAAGACAATTAGCTAAGTGCACCACCCATGTTTATCTTTTTGCCACTTAGTAGTATGGTTCAGCGACATTCTTCTTCACTTGTACGTGAGAAATCTTAGGTTCGAATCTTGTAGATGTCGAGTTCGAAATAAATTTATATTCTCACCTTTTAGTGTAAATATATCATTGTATAAAAAAATAAGCCCAAAAATAAACCATGATAAGCATAAAGATAATAGGCCATTCAAAAATCATTTTTACGAAAGTATTAAGAAGAATGCCAACAACAACTCCCTATTTGCCTTTTTTCACTCATTGAGATTGAAGGCGTTTTTACGTACCTATAATCAAAACCAAAGGACGGAGTCGGATTCTGATTACGAAGATCACGATTGCAAGTTACTATTTTGTTTACTAAACATTAGGGAAAAAAAAAGGGAAATAAATAAAAATGGGCCACTTTCTTGTTCTTAGGACCAAAATAGGACAAACCGGTTATACACACTTTATGCACACCATGCACAAAAGAGAAATGACAAAAATACCCACATTTAAATAGTAAAAGCTTACAACTGATGGCGTCATTTCTCTTAGCATATTCGAGGAGAGGGATGTCGGGAGAGAGTTTTGAGCCTTGGTTTTTTGGTTGAGCACATGTGTGAGCTCTGATTTCGAAGAGGGGGGAGTCGAGAGAAAGCTAAGAAGAATGAGCTCTGGGTTTTTGGGTTGAGCTAAAAACTGTGAGCTCTGATTTTGAACACAAGGATGTCGAGAGAGAGCTAAGAAGAGTGAGGTCGGAGTTTTGGGGTTTAAGCTCAGATCTGTGAGCTATGTGTGTTATTCTTCCATAATCAAACACAACAAAGTCTTTCATACTTAAAGATAACACGTTTGTATTGTATTTCCCAGTTTGGCCGGAAAGTTTCCATTTTTTCCGACCACTAAAGTTACAGCATATATATTTCAGCACCCCAAGTATATGCTCAGTTTTGGAGGCTGCTAAGGTAGGGTGTTTAATTCCAAGTTCCTATACCAAGATTTATGGAATATATGGGTTGTTTATAGAATTGAATTAATATTTAGAAGTTTAATCAGAGTTTGTGTTTCATGTTAGGGGCTATAGGTTGTGGAAAAAGCTTGATTTTAAACGTTGTAGAATACTAGGTATGTTCCAATTTTTGTTTCAGGTGTCCAATTGCCTAAAATACTGAGTATGCTCCAATTTCATAATTTCAATTGTGGGGTCATTGTTGTTAGTTGGCCCGAACATTATTCGAGATTTTTTTTTTGTTGGGAAGCAATTTACCCTAATACCCCGTCTATCACAAATTCTTGCCTCCGTCATAGAATAAATAAAAATTGTTTGGAATATTCTCATTATAAACTAAGCGGGTCTGATGTTTTTACAAGAAATCACTAGCTAACCAACCTCCTTGTGAATTATTCTCATATACATATGGCTCTAAAAAGGTCATGTTTTCGTAACATAAGGTTCCTTTTAATACTGTTTCTAGGTTAATACTAGCCGATCCAGTCAAATTACTGAAGGCGACAACAAACTCACAATAAAGTTAAATTAGATGAGACTAGCATATAAGTTTTTTTATCTTATTATGAGTATGTAGTCCCACGTACAGTCGTACTCAAGATTTTCTCGGATTTCTTTGTATTTATTTAATATAAAACTGAATAAAAACAAAGTGGAAAAGAGATGGGAGATTGAATCATGTTTAGGTTGTCCCATTACTTAACAATTTAATCCCCATTAATCTTTATGAGTCAGCAACATCAAACATGTGATTAGCGTAAGACACCAAAAACAATGACAATGCCTCTCCCTCTCTCTCTCTCTCTCTCTCTCTCCCTCTCTCTCTCTCACAGCCAGCAGCTGCATGCAGGTTTTGCTTACGTGGACCCACCAAATAGAAGACGAAGAAATGAAGATGATAACGACACAAATCTGCTGAGAAGTTGAGACTTGAGATCAAAGCCGCATATTCCGTATCAAAATATGGTATGTATAAGATTCGAATCTAAATCCTAAATCCTCATTTATAAGTAAGCAAAGATATGTCAGTAAATCGGAGAACCACCTAAGAGCCGTTAATAAGAATTCCACGACCTAAAGCCTGACACGCTTTATCAATCAAATGCCTAATTGATTTTATGGGCGAAACAATAGGTCTCAACCCATCAATCAGAGAATGCTATGTGTATCACAACCAATTACGATCACACTCAACTCTACTAGCATAAAAGACCACGACGCTCTTGAATTCTCATTCATCTTCTAACTATAATTTAGACATCAAATTACTTAACATGTCAATTCATTGGTCTTCTAGCACTTGACTCACACCAAATTGGTGTGACAAACCTAACATGTCAATTCATTCTTGCTTGCAAAGGCATCAAAATAATTCTCATCCCCACGCCCTCTTTTACTATATATTTTTTTCATTTAGCATTTCAACTACAGAAGAGCGTTTTAGATATAACCGTCTAACATAAAGTAAGAAATATATTTAATAAAATACCTTTATGCAATGAGTCAATTTTAGATATAACCGTCTCTATTTTTTCTTACAAAAAATCTAAATAAGGAAAATTTGAGTCGAACTTTGACCTCAAGTGTAGGAGTAAAATGCTTTCAACCATCGGAGCTACAAGCCTACAATCCACACCCAAGCCATCTGAAAAACCATTATCATCAATTTCTTGTTTAAACTGTTGCTTGTTATTTAAGGATCATAAAACGTTTTATGTAAATTAATTAATAGTTATTTGATAAAAGTAAAAATAAAATACGAAACGTGAAAAGAAAAGAAAAAATTATCAAAGTGGATGAAAAAGGTGACGCTAAGACTGTAGTGGTATACGTTCCCAGTTCCCACCATTCTTCTGGAAACTCCCCTCTCTCTCTCTCTCTTCTTTCTCTCTCTAAATTGTTGAGTGGGCGTTCGGTCGAAGAAGCTCGAGCAATTGGCAATGGAGGTTCTTCTCTGAGAGGGGGCGATATCGGAGCTCTGTTTTTTTCCAAATTCGGAAGCTTTCGAGGAGGAGGAGGAGGTAGCTATTGAATCGGTTGATTGCGAGCTGAGGAAGAAGAAAAGCTTGCAGCTTTAATGGCGGTGGAGTACGAGTGTTGCACCAGCGGATTCTTCATTCACATAGTGGTCATCGTGCTGCTGGTGATGTTCGCGGGGCTAATGTCCGGCCTCACCTTGGGCCTCATGTCCATGAGCCTCGTCGATCTCGAGGTCCTCGCCAAGTCCGGGACGCCGAAGGATCGCAAACACGCCGGTATGGCTTTTGATTTTGAATATTTTTTTTTTTTTTTTGAATTTTTGTTATGTTTCATTTGGAATTCTCTGCTCTGTTTGGCTGCTGGGAAAATGCGAGAAAAGGAGGAAAGAAAATGGTGTGGGACCCTATTTGATGTTGATTTCTAATAGTTTTAGAATAATCTGGATTGGTGTTTTTGTTCGATTTCGATTCGAGGTTAAGTTGATTGTAAGGAGCTGCAAATGATTGTTTTGAATTGGATTGTTCCGCTGTGGAAGTATTTTGCCCAATTATATTTTGGTAATTCCACTTCCACTTGTTGAAATATGAAACTTGCGTTCTCCATTTGCATGAAAAGTGGTGTTTTGAGAGGAGAAAGGGTGTGTCAGTGTTGGAATTAATGAATGAAAAGTGATTTGGTGAGAACTAGGGCCCGTTTGGGATTGTTTCTCGCAGGGGTAAAAGCGCTTTCTGACAGCCGAAAGTGCCATCTCTCATGATGATTAATACTGGGGGTTTTTTTTATTTCTTTTTTTGGTTTAATGTCTTGGGTTTTCATGACTCTGAAATTTAGTCGAAAGATAAGCATGCACCTACGGGAAAAGAACGATTTTGTGCAAGGGGTTTTAACTTTGTAAAGATAAATTCCATTGTACTAGCTTTGTTTGACATTGATGTGTACAATGCGGTTTAACTAATCATTTCGTCTCTCTATGTATTTTGTTTGTAATTGCAGCCAAGATATTACCAGTTGTCAAAAAACAGCATCTGTTGCTTTGCACTCTGCTGATTTGCAATGCTGCTGCGATGGAGGTACATGTTATTGATGTTTATTGGAAAAGATACTAATTTCGGTAAAATAATAATGAAAGGAAAGACGATTTTGTAATCTCTGTTCCTTCTCTCAGGCACTCCCCATTTTTCTTGATGGTTTGGTGACAGCTTGGGGTGCAATCCTCATTTCGGTGACACTGATTCTTCTGTTTGGCGAGGTAAGTGATATATGCCATTTTGTTTGTATCGTAGGATGGCCTATAACATAGATAGTTGAATTTTGTAAATCTGACTTCAGCCAGTATGTTTTCATTTTCTTAGTTATTTATGATCTGAACTAACTGGCTCTTTGAGGCAACACTTAGAGGGCATATCCACAACCCTAGATTGATGTTCATTGGTCTGCTCGAGAAAAATTACATTGAGAACACAAAGTTACTTTTAATATCGCTGTGTTGATATACCATGTTACATTTATTTCTGAAGTCAGTGATGATATCAAACATGGCATGTGCGTGCCACTAACTTCTGTTCATCTGTGTCTGCAGATTATACCACAATCTGTTTGTTCCCGATATGGTTTGGCTATTGGTGCAACAGTGGCACCATTTGTCCGTGTTCTTGTTTGGGTCTGCTTTCCGGTTGCATATCCTATTAGCAAGGTGTGATAGATTTAGCACTTACTTTTTTCTCTGCAATTTCTTATGCCAGCGGCATGAGTTCAACTCTCTGACTATTATGTTCTATCCAGCTATTAGACTATCTGTTGGGCCATGGACATGTAGCTCTATTTCGCAGAGCTGAGTTGAAAACGCTTGTAGATATGCATGGTAATGAGGTACGTCTGACAGCTCTCTTAAATTGAATTGTCAACTGTCACATAACTTCATCATTCTTCAGTAATTCTTTCGTTGGGTTCGTTCTTCTCACTTCTGTTATTAGAGTACTTACTACCCGCCTCATAACCATATATGACTGTCTTGTTCTAGGCTGGAAAAGGTGGAGAGTTGACACATGACGAAACAACCATTATTGCAGGAGCACTTGAACTCTCTGAGAAAATAGCTAGAGATGCCATGACTCCCATAGCTGAAACTTTTGCAATCGATATCAATGCCAAGCTTGACAGGTTTATTATGCTTTACACATTATAGCAAAAAAGTCAACTTTCGTTGGTTGTATAATAATGTTTTGATTTGCAACCCTAAATGCTGCTTATCACACAGGAATTTGATGAATCTAATATTGGAGAAGGGGCATAGCAGAGTACCGGTTTATTATGAGGAGCCTATGAATATTATTGGACTCATCCTGGTAAATTTTTAACCATGCCCTTTTCTATACCTCCCAAGTTCCCAACTTGCTGGTTAAAACCAGTGTAAATCAGAACTTACTTGGCTTAAATATCTCTGTCAACTTTGAGTTTGAAATTATCTGTGGATAGGCAATTTCTAGGACATGTTGAAAAGCTGTGCTATTAAACTTAAAACAGGTTACTAAATTAATTGTAATCCAAATTCATGTTGAGTTAATTAGTGCTTAAATTTTGAGCATGATAAACAAGTTAATGTATCTTGTTTTCTGTTTTCATTCCATTTGATTTATCTTGATATTAGGTCGCTATATTTTTCTTTGTAACATACTTCTCTAAACTATTTAAATTCAAAATTTAGGTAAAAAATTTGTTAACGGTGAACCCAGAAGATGAAGTGCCTGTAAAGAATGTCACTATACGCAAGATTCCAAGGTATTTTGCGTTGTTTGAGGTCATTTTTGTTGTAATATTAATTGCAGTACAAATTTATGATGATTTACATAAATTGGTGTCGTACTCTCATTTGTTTGATAGGGTTCCAGAAACGTTGCCCTTATATGACATATTGAACGAGTTCCAGAAAGGTCACAGTCACATGGCTATTGTTGTTAGAAGGTGCAATAAGAACGCGGAGGAGACTAATGGCAATCTGGATGACAGTAAGTAGCTGCTTCCTACTGTAGAATGCCTTGAAAAAATTTCCATTGGTAAAAATTTTCCACCCGACACCTTCAGACTCTATGATCGGACTCTATTTTTTTTTGTGAGACTGATTATAACTGTTCTCTATATCTCTCTCAATAGATCCAGTGAAAGAAGTGAAAGTCGATATTGACGGTGAAAAGCCTCTTCATGAGAAGTTGAAAAGCAAAAGATCACTACAGAAGTGGAAGAGCTTTACAAATACAAACAGTGAAAATAATTCATACAGGAGCGGGTCCAGAAGCAAGAAATGGACAAAGGAGATATATTCAGACATCCTGCAGATTGATAGCGAGCCACTCCCCAAGCTCCCTGAAGAGGAAGAGGCTGTTGGCATCATAACAATGGAAGATGTTATCGAAGAACTTTTACAGGTACTAGCTCTCGCTTTAAGCACCATTTCTATTTTTTGTTGTATCCACATTCTCTTACGAGGCTTTATATCCTGACATCAATATTCGTTATGTAGGAGGAGATTTTCGATGAGACTGACCATCAGTTTGAGGACTCATAACACTGGCATTTCTTGGAAGCAGGTCGTCTCCTTGCCGTACATATTACAATGGAAAATTAGTTAATTTGTTTGTCATTTGTGTCTGTAAGTGCTGAAACAGGTTTGTTAGAAAACTCTACTAAAACCGTATTAAAAAGTCATATGGTTGAGAAGTTATTAGACGAATGTCAAAACTTTCTCCATGCAAAGTTCTGAATATTTTGAGTTTATGATGGTCGTCTTTTGAGTGAACAGGCTTTTCAGATGCTCGGGTAGGCAACACACGCGCATCGCATTGTAGGGTTAACAGGATTCGAGAAAAATATGCACCAATTCCGTACAAGCCAGAGAATTCTTCTCAGATAAAGCGCCTCTTAAGTATGGTATTTATTTGTATTTTCGTCCTTCCTCTTCTTCTCTTTAGATTTTTCCTTGGATTTGTGCTTGTTCGGGCTACCAGACTTCACCTTTTTTGATTTCTTCCTCTCATCGTCATGCTCCTCTTCGGAAGGATAACACAAGTTATGTGAAGGCCTCTCTGGTCCATACGCACGGCGTTCTTGTATACTGGGCCTCTGCAGCTGCTCTTCCTGGGAGTCCGAAGAACGGGGAAGATAAGGACCCTTTTCATCCATCCTTGACCCAACAGCACCTCTGCCACGCTTGACTCTTGTTATAGCAAGAAAATCATGCTAATTAGTCATATATTCTCTCGTACACGGGGAGTGGCGAGGAGCGAGAGCGACAGAGAGGGTTACCTTGAATGTAAAAATTCTTCGAGTTCTTCGTCTCCTAAACCATTCTCTTGCCTTGAATGGCAGCTCTCGTATTCTCTTTTCCTTGACGAGCAAGAAGGACCGGCACTGTCATCTGTGACGGCATGTCCCTTACCACTGCATCTCGGAGAGTTGCTATCTCCGCGACACCTGCTCTCAGCCTTGTTCCCTTTCAGCCTATTGTCCAATTCCTTCTCTTTCTGCCGGAGTCGCCACATTTCATTCACTTCAACAACTCGATTTGCTGGAGAAAACAAACAATAAAACTTGAGCTCAATGACAGCGGTCACCAAACAAGTAAAACATGCGCACCTTCCTTTCTAATACAGCAGTATAGGAACTGACCTTGTTGCACACCACGAACAGTAGCACTGAGGAAGCGTGAATTCGGCCGGAACCTTGTTTTAGGCTGTTGAAGATAAGCATGCACACCTTCCTTCTCAGCTTGACGCCGCAATTCAGCGGCTTCTCTCATAAGAATTGCAGCTATTCTGTTCTCCGTCTCTAAATCCATCCAACCCTTTTAAGCAAAGAATCTTGATCAATACAGCTTCGGAATCACAGTGAACTTGACTATTAGTTGTAAACTTGAGAGAGCCACAAGTAAACTTTCTGAATGAGGGGAGCCATTCACGAACGGAAGGAGAAATACAGTCATGTCAACAACCTATTGCTACATAACCAAGGTACGAAAGCGTGTTTACTAACATTAATATTTTTACGACTATTTTGCCTTAAAGATTATGTTCCTAAACAGCTAAAGACATAACAAAATTCCAAATTTCAAGTTAAACGATATTCGATCTGAAGTGTAAAATTTCATGTCAAACAAAAGTAAATTTCATGTTCAACTAACAAATTGAGAGTGCAGACCATTGATGAAAAACCATCTACCCTCCTTAAGAAAAGCCATTGAGAAAATTAAAAACATCAATCTTTTGGAGTCTCTGGTATCATAAACTAGTTCAAAAACTTAGTTCTGGACACCTCTCTCTGATATCATAATGACTACAAAGCAAATTTGAAAGAAGCTAATTCAAACCTTCCTCAAACACAGATTTACGATAAGCAAACCGGGGACTTCCGGGGGATACGAGCTGGGATTCCCAGAGGTTAACCAAAGAATCAAGCAGGTATATAGCAAATGAAAGCATAATCTGGAAATATGTACTCTAAACTGCTAGTGCAGAGCAAGTCACGAACGCCTAGTTATCGCTATAATGTAAAGTGAAGACACAGCTGAAGCAGATTACCGAATGGAAACTCTGTCGTTATGGCACTTTATTAGCTCCTCAAACTTTCTTTTGGATGTCCTCAACCTGATACAACCAGTCTTTCATTAATTCAGGGAAACTTTGAATACTTGGATCTAACGGACGACATGACATAAAACCAAGTGCAGTTGCGTTCTAAGATTCATATAGCCGACCTCATTTAGCGGGGTAAGGCTTTGTTGTACTGAACCAAACTAAAAATTATGCAGAAACATTCAAACTAGAACCAAACCCAAACGAGAATTCTCATCGCAACGCAGACCAACCAGAATTACAAACTTTCCATAAAACCAAACAGAATTGGAGACAATCCAATGCCAAATTTGAAAAATTACAGAATTCCACAACAGACTAATCAGAATCACAAAATTAAGAAGAAAATCAAGCTAAAAAAGAGGCTTTTGAAAGATGAACATGAAAAAACCTCGTCTTTATGTTCTTGATCAAAGTGGTGGCCATCAGAAATTCAAATCAATCGAAACTGCGAACTTGAACTTATGCTAACGAAACCCTAGAATCTCATTCCTACTCTTTCCAATAATTTCGTCTCAAGAATCTCAATATTCAAACAAAATGCTCAAAGAAAATTATTTGGAAAAAAAAAAATAAAATAGTGGCGGCGTGTTACCCCGGTGATGGCGTCGTTAGTAGTGTCTCGGTCCGCTGCTTCCGGCGGTGATGGGAATCGAAGTCGGGTGTGAGAGAGAGAGAGAGAGAGGAGAGAGGAGAAAGGAGTCTTTTTCCCTAAACGCAAAAGGAAAGCTAATCTTTTATTAGGACCAAAATACCCATACGTTCTCAAACGAGACTCTTCTGCTTGCTAGCAACGCCGAGAGGTAACCAGAAATATCCAACTCGAAGCTCACACTTGTCTGCGATTCTTCAAAATCCAAAAATGTCTTCTTCTTCGCTGTTGCAGACTTCGATCTCGTCCTCTTCCTCCGCTTTCTTCGCCAACCACAACTTGACATTCAATTCCAGGTATCAATTTCCCGGCTTTCGTCTCCTTTTTCCCTCCAATTTTCTCAGCCGCCAAACACATTTTATCTCTCATAGCTCACGTTGTTGTCACTGTTTTGCAGAGCTCGGAGTGTCTCGCTTCCAGCAAAACACGTTGGCATCTGCAAATGTGTCGCCACTCCGCAGGCAGAGAAGACCGGTCTCTCTCGCTCTCTCTCTCTATCTCTCTCTCTCTCTGTTTCCTTTTTCTCTGAATTTATTGATTCAATTTAATTTTTAACTTAACAAGTCTCTCTTTTTTGAAATTTTAATGTGAAGAATACAAAACCCAGGTGTCCCGGAATGCCAACATAGCCAAACTTCAAGCTGGGTATCTCTTTCCAGAGGTTTGTGATGATCTTTCACTTGCTGGGTTTACTGGGTTTGGGGTTTAGTGTTGAGTTTCCTAGCTGGGTCTCTCAAATATGGCATTGCCCTTTTGATTTAGGGTGTTCAAATGTTACCGTATCGATTTACCTAATCAGCATCTCTAATATGATCCTGAATAAAATGTTGGGTTTTTACATAATCAAGAAAAGCTAGTCATTGAGTTACTCTAGTGCCTAAATGTTAGTGCTTTTTGTGGTTTTTACGTATTTTTGGCATATGCTGTACTCTATTCATATATCGATTGCTGTTTCCCGGTTGATTTGTGATTGTATATTACATTGATTGTATAGGTTGCTAGAAGAAGAGCGGCGCACTTGAAGAAGTACCCCGATGCACAAGTGATTAGCCTTGGGATTGGTGACACCACTGAGCCCATTCCAGAAGTTATAACCTCTGCAATGGCAAAGGTACCTTTTATTGTTACTTGTACATTATTGTGGTATCCCAGCCTGGTGGAAGAAAAGAAGGGAACTACAAAGTCCCGTTAACTGAATGGATCCTGAATTAACCACCTTGGCGCAGGTTTATCAATAACCCTGACACTGTTCATAAGGGTGTGGGGTGAGAAAGTTAGGGTTTGATTAACTTGTCTTTAGAAAAACTAGATAGAATGCATTCACTCTGGTGTTCTTTAATTATTGAAATTCTCCTATCGCTTTCACTGTTCCATTAATAAGAGCAAAGTTGTGTTTCGGTTGATTGAATGTATGGTTGCAACAGAAACAGCATACATGTTTGTAAATGTGTAAAATTATTCAAATGCTGATCAAGGAATGGAGCTAACAGAATATAATCATCCCGCTACTTTCAAACTAGCACAACAGGACCACCACAAATAAATATTTCCTCCTTAAATGGTTGTTGATGTTAGTTTCTTTCGTGTTACTATTTCTATGTAAAACTTTCCTGTTTACTTTTGTTTCTTTGAGGGAGATTAACTTCAACATAACCAACCTGAACGTTAATGTGAAAGTACTCAAAGAATAAACCCCGCCCCCTCTCCTTTTTTTAGATTCTTGATTTTTTATTATTGTATGATTCATTTAGCTTTTGTTCTGCTAGCCAACTAAGCCAAGTTCATTGTTAGCGTAAACTGAGCTTGTTTTGGTTGAAGCAGTCAAGTAGCCAACCTTTTGATTGAGGCAAACCAAGTAATATAGTATAGTGGCCGGCAATTATTCTCAGATCACATACATTAGATTATCTTGTTCTCATATGTTATCCCTTGAAAATATAGGCTCTTAATCCACATCAAGAAATGTTATTTTCTGTGAAATGTATATATATTTATTTTTGTGGTATATTATCCAGGTATTATGAGCATCTTTATGTCAAGAATTTATACGCATTCTACAACATGCATTATATTTGTATTACCTTGAAAAAAAAATGACAACGTGTAGCACATTCATCAGTTTTTATGTCTTTCTAAATCCATATTGTTTCTGATTTGCAGAGAGCACATGCTTTGTCTACCCTAGAGGGTTACAGTGGTTATGGACCTGAACAAGGTGAAAAGGTATTTGGCCTTCTCATTAGGTTTGCTAGTTGACGGGTTTTTAAGTTATTCTATGCAAATATATCCTCCCATATAAATAACATATAAATATTAGGGATAATGAAGACTAAGACAAATTGTTAATCTGTTCAGCCACTAAGAGCTGCAATTGCTTCTGCATTTTATGACAACCTTGGCATAGAGGAAGATGACATCTTTGTTTCTGATGGTGCAAAATGTGACATATCCCGCCTTCAGGTTTCATACTTTCTACGTATCGTAATTTTTATTTTTCCTATGTACCTTGCTTTTATATTTTTCATGTGCTTATACAGGGTTTGCCTTGTTTCTACCGTGGTAGGTTGTTTTTGGGTCTAATGTCACAATAGCAGTGCAAGATCCATCTTATCCGGTAATTCTTGTTCTTATTCTTTAGTTGCATGTTTATCTTGTCCTGTCTCATCTCTCTTGCTATTATTGTTATGTTTGGTAGGATTTTTTTCCTGTTTTTAATGTACAGGATTACATTCTGTTTAAAGATTTTTGGACAAAGATTGGGAAAAAGAAAGATCTATCTTCTGTTAATGTTGTGTTAAGTGTTCACGTACTGTTTGAAAATTAGGAGAATATTCTTTTCTTATTTGCAGGCTTATGTAGACTCAAGTGTTATTATGGGCCAGACTGGACAGTATCAGAAAGATGTCGAGAAGTTCGGAAATATTGAGTACATGAGGTGTACTCCTGAGAATGGATTCTTTCCTGATTTACACACTGTGTCTCGAACAGATATCATATTTTTCTGCTCACCAAACAACCCTACTGGTTCTGCTGCTACAAGGGAGCAACTGACACAACTGGTACAGTTTGCTAAGGATAATGGGTCAATCATAGTATACGATTCAGCATACGCCCTGTATATGTCAGATGACAATCCTCGCTCAATCTTTGAAATCCCTGGAGCCAAAGAGGTAATCTATAATTTGCATATTCGCAAGGCTCTTGATTCTTTGTTTTATTGAAATCTAGTTCATGTTACGCTTATATCTATGAATATGCAAAATCTAATTCATGTATTGTGTTTCTGTGTGGCCATTGCTAGGTTGCACTTGAGACATCATCGTTCAGTAAGTATGCTGGATTCACAGGAGTTCGTTTGGGGTGGACTGTTGTTCCAAAGCAGTTGCTCTTTTCAGATGGATTCCCCGTTGCCAAGGACTTCAACCGCATCGTTAGTACTTGCTTCAATGGTGCATCCAATATATCACAAGCTGGTGGTCTTGCTTGCCTTTCACCAGAAGGCCTTAAGGTGTGTTCTTATGTGTCTTGATTCATTGGTAAAGTTTCAAATTTGAAATCCGCCTGCATCTGTTACAAGCTATGGTTACATTTGTTTGATTTCTACTCTGTTAGGCCATGCGCGAGGTGATTGGTTTCTACAAAGAAAACACAGAAATAATAGTGGAGACATTTGAATCTCTTGGCTTTAAGGTGTACGGAGGGAAGAACGCACCCTATGTGTGGGTGCACTTCCCTGGCCGAAGCTCATGGGATGTATTCAGCGAGATTCTTGAGAAGACTCATGTGGTCACCACACCTGGGAGTGGTTTCGGATTTGGGGGTGAAGGTTTCGTCAGGGTTAGTGCGTTTGGCCACAGGAGTAATGTATTAGAAGCCTGCAAAAGATTCAAGCAATTATACAAGTAATCCAGAGATTAGCATCCGCTGTCTACTATATTTAGTCCGAAGATAAAATCGACAGTGGCCTCCGTTTATGTTCAATGTTGTGTGCTAGTAAGTAGAAAACTCAATTTCAATGTCATATTGGTTTCTGGATTCTCTTAGGAATGCAAAGCATGTTTCAGCTACTGCAGTAACACTATGTTTGGATGAAGAAATTTAAGATTACTAAGAAATTTTAAAATGACAGAAATTGAAATTACGGGATTTTATTTTCTAGAATTTGTGAATTTTCTTGTTTGGTTAACCTAAAAGAATAATGGAATTGAATATTGAATTTGTTATTTTTAAACTTTCAATTATAGAAATTGAAAAATGACGCCTATTTATATAAAGTTTAAACTTGGGAATTGAAGGTCCTAAATTCCAAGTTTTTGTTTTCAAGCTGAAATTCTAAATTTTATATGTTTATGAATCCAAATAAAGGAATTAGTGCATGTTAATTTATAAATTGATTTTTATTCAAATTTCAAGTTTATTTTCCTCATCTAAACATAGTGTAATTGAATAATTTTGCATAATTTTTTAATTCGTTTCGGTAATTCTTTTAGCCGCTTTTATAGGTGCAGTTGCCCTGGCTTTATGTAATGTTTCAACAAGATTAGATGCCTGGTCTACAGTTTGCATAAATAAAATTGCTGATGGTTCATCCTCTACCAGTCGTTCAAGATCAACTATTTGGAGGTCTCGGGTTTGAAACTCGTTCTTGGTGTGAAAGTTAGACTTGTGGCTAGAGGAGGTTGAAATGCCTCTATGAGTCTTCCCGGTTTTCGGAAGGGATGGATAATGGGGGCTAACTACCAGTTAGACCTAACATTCGTGTCGTGTTTCTCGTGTTCGTGTCGTTTTCGTGTCATACACGATAGCTTAACGAGTTGTGTCGTATAATACCCGTTAACATAAATGGGTAATATAACCCGACTCGAAATCAACCCGTTAATATTATCAGGTAATATGACCCGACCAGTTATCCGTTAAGAAAATTATATTTTAAATCAATAAAAATGAAAATGAAAAGCATAATTTGACCCAAAAAAATGTAAAACATAATATTAAATTAGTATATACATACTAAATTTCGGAGTTGACTCCTTCATGAAAGTTGTAAAGTTTTTCATTACGAGTGATTACATTTTTCACACTTCTACAATTATTATTATTAATTTTGCACTAAAATAAAAAACACCGTTCATGAGATTTGGAGGGTTTTAAAAATCTAAACGACCAACTTTTATATCTTTCAGACTTGTACATTAATGATTATGAATTTTGTTTATTTTGAACTCCCTTAAAATACTATTCATGAGAGTTTGTATTCAAACAATCATATGCCCAACCTCAAAGTGTAGAGGATGCGACTACGAGCGTTTAAATATTTTTTTTCATATTTTTCGTACATGTAAATTAATAATTATAATTTTTTTAATGTGTTTGGTATTTTTAAATTATTTGATATTTTTATTTTTAATGTGTTTTATGATTTTTAATCTCAATCTTTGCCTATAATATACTATAAAAATAAATAAATAAAACTTAAAATTTAAAATTTATGTAAAATAATAATTAATAAACAATATATACATATTCATTATATTTATTGTATTTTATAGTAAGTTTTTTTTTGGTAGTTTAAAAAATTGAAATCATCAAAATCACTTTTTTCTTATCATGTCGAAATAAGTTACCAGCGTGTCACTCTCGTGTAAGCCTATTAAGGATCCGTTATTAACGTGTTATTATCGTGTGACACGATAATGACCCGATTAGTTAGCGTGTTGACTCGAAACCTTTTATTTTCGTGTCGTTTACTTGTTGTGTTAACGGGTCGTGTAAGAAATTGCCAGGTCTACTACCAGTTGTCCCTTACAAAAAATAAAAAAATAAAAAATAAAAAGGTATGAAAGCTAAAGAGAGAATGTTGTTATTGTAACAATGTTGGTTTTTATGTTGGGAAGTGTTATTGGCACTCCAAAAATCTCATTATACACTCATCATAAGTGTATTTTTCTTTTCAAATATAGAAAATTTAGAGTGTAGAATGAGATTTTTAGAATACCAATAACAATTCCTTTTATGTTGTGTAATGTCATATTAGATATTATTTGTGACGAGAAAAAATTCAACGAATTTTCAGGATAATATGTATAGCCGATGATTCTATGTGCCGTTCCGGAGTATCTCCATGAAAACCAGAAAAGATTGGATTGCTTGCACCCGAGGATGCTTCCAACTCCGGGATCTCAGCTTGCTGCTGCAAACATGAAATTAAGTATAAAATTTAGGGCCAATGTTGAAGAAAAACACGATTCGGAAGCCTAAAGTTTAAACAAAATTCCCATGCACCCAATAATTGGAGAGTAGGTTCCCACATTATTCGATCTGTTTATTGAATTTGGTCCACTCTCAAGTCACTGGGACCCAACTTTGACATTGAGAAGGTATTGAGGGGGTTGTAGGTGGCAATTAATTGAAAAATTGATCGTAAACAATTTTTTATATATTCACAAACAATAATAGAATTCTCTACACTAAATTTATTTAAATTCTAGGACAATGTTTGAATCCAATATTACGCCACCGATTTGTGCACCAAGGCCATTGAGTGAACAAGTTCTAGACCATTAAATGATTGTTAAGATAACATTCAACCATCGTTGATAGATAATATTGTGATTTGTAATCATAACATAATAATTATGTATTAAGAGTTCATCGGAATTATTTTCCTGTGTACGATAAATGGGATGCAAATCATATCCCTAACCCGGAAGCAAAACGCATGTGTTGATCCAATTAAAAGTCGTAATGGGATAAAGACGGGTTAGTGGTTTTTTATTTTTTTTATTTTATCAAACGATAGATTTTATTAGATTAGTCAGCACACAAGAGATAAGCTGAAATTATGCTGACAGTTTAGATATGAAACCCATCTTTCAAGAAAATTCAAAGATGTCTTATTTTTGAAAAATTCCTAGGTGGACGGCTAAAGGATATGGCAGATTGGTCACATCAAGTCATTTTAGCAGAGTTTAAGTCCAGCAGGATGATATCCACAAAGTTAGAATAGCAATTGGACTCTACACGGGTGTCACGCTGCGCCAAGCAAATATATGTCCCTAAATATTCAAGGTTGCAAAAATTGAAAAAAATAACCTTCAACTTGTTGTGGTCTATATTTAACGGGAGAGGAGACTGGCAGCACAGAGAAAATAGAGAGAGATACGTTTGTAGTGTTGTATAGCGAATTGTTATTTTCCCTACACAGTGCCTTTATTTATAGCAATAAGAGAGAAGAAATCATTTTCCTCCAAGGAGTACAAGTCCTAACAGATAGAATAACTAGAATGAAATCTAATATAGGATTTACACAATCACACTTAAACAAGAAGTTTATAACACTTCCCCTTGAGTGTGTAAATACTCAAGTAGATTTGGCATCATGTAGAATTGACAAAGTCGACTCGTCGACACTGATTTTGGGGACATGCTAGTCTCAATAAGGTAAGAACTTGCATAAGGAACTAAATCTCACAAAAAACCCTAAGGTTATGGAAAAAACCGAGTAGGGACAAAATCTATAGTCTAAGGAAAAATACGCGAGTAATGCAAAGTCAAATGAAACGTCTATGGGACATCATCAGGGATATGATCAACCCAAGGTGGGTGTCTCGTCAAAACCTCGTTATGTAGTAAAAACCCAGTGGAAAAAATACTCCTAATTGTAAGGAAAAATAGTACATTAAGATCAAGCAAGTATACTTCAAGATACTCCTCCTGAGTTTGACACAATTCCAAAGAGAACTAACAATGTTCCAACTCATAAAGTTTATGCATACCAATTCCTTGAACAAGCTTATGAAATGTCGCATTAAGTAGTGATTTGGCGAAGAGGTTGGCTAGATTGTCTTGTGAACGGATTTGCGTGATTTCAATCTTTTGATGCTCTTGTTGTAGATGTGAGAAGAAGAACTTTGACGCAATGAGCTTGGTGTTGTCTCATTTGATGTAACCCTTCTTGAGTTGTTCAATGCATGTTGCGTTGTCTTCATAGATCGTCATCAGGACATTAACGACGGGGTAAAGATTACAGGAGCTTTGAATATGGCCCACAACTACTCTCAGCCAGAAGTATTCTCGAGTTGCTTTGTGTAGGGGGAGAATTTCAGCATGGTTAGAAGAAGTGGCAACTAAGGTCTGTTTAGTTGACCTCCAAGAGATTGCAGTGCCTCCAATAGTAAAGACATAACCCGTTTGAGAATGCATCTTGTGCGAATCAGATAAGTATCATGCGTTAGCATAGCCAACAAGGTGAAAATTGACTAGAGATAAGGGGGTGCGGCATCATTTAAGGATCCATAGGGATAAAACAAGCCCAGATCTGTAGTACCCTTAAGGTTATAGAATATGTTTTAACACCAGTCTAGTGTCTGTGTGTTGGTACATTATTGTATCTTGCCAAAAGATTAACAGCGAAGGAGATGTCAGGTCTAGTACATTAAACTAAGTACAATAAAGTGCCTATCGTACTTAGATAAGGAACTTCAGGCTCCTAAATCTCTTCATAATCCTGCTTCGGGCGGAATGGATCTCATTTTTGCATCTAGCGATCGAACGACCATATGATTACTCGAAGGCTTCGCTTTATCCTCGTTAAAGCGGCGCAACACCTTTTGGGTGTAGTTCGATTGATGTACTAAGATTCCATCTGAACGGTGCTCTATCTTGAGACCGAGACAGTATTGAGTCTTTCTTAGATCTTTCATCTCAAACTCCAACGTTAGGTGCGCGACAATTCTCGCTAGCTCTTTAGGAGTTCCTGTTGGAAATGTGCCCTAAAACCAATCATATGATGATACTTTACGGACATTTCAAACTAATGTAGTTTAAAGGGCAAACATTATTGTTTGAGCCGTCTCATATAAATGTTATATGCTTAAACGATAAGTCCAAGGAATATGTGATTGGAAGAATGCGATCTAAAGAAGTTAGATTCATGAGACCATTCTTTCGTTGACACATCCTAAACGTTCCTGATCATAGGATTGTCAATTGGGCATTGACAGTCCGTTAAGATCAGTACGTGCTATGTCTTCTCTCAGGGAGAGTGACTAGTCTCGAGTCATTGGTGTGTGTGACATCAAGACAAGTACGTAGGTGCTCAATAGAGAATGAGTTCATTGAACACGATCAACGAAGAGTTCTCATAT